ATTAATAGAAGACTACAACAAAAAACAAAACAAAAAAACAAAAAAAAAAAAAAACAAAAGAAAAAACTTATTCAATTTGGAATGGAACATGCTCAAAAAGCTTTGGCAGTTTGACAAAATAATATTTTCACAAGCCAAAACACACTCTTATACAACAACCAGAAACTTCTTCTAAAATTTGAAATGTGAAGAATTTTATAGGTTATCAAATGTGGTTCCAAACCTTATTACCATACATGCAGTGCCATAATACCATGATCAATTTTTCAATGTTTAGTTTTAAAGGTGCATCTGGAAAATGTTGCTTTTCAAGTTTATACACCTAGACCATTATGATCAAATTGATATGCATGATCTCATGTCATACAATACTATGGTCCCGACTGGCAATCATAAAATCTGAAATATTTATAAGAACTGGAAATCCCACTGTTCTACACGCATACAGTAAATATCTATGAACTGAAAGAGTCATGCAATTACACTTTGTACACAGGATATCAGCAATAGAGCTGAGGGGAATTTGTATCATGTCCAGTCAACGAACATCATTCAAGGAGAGGTGAAATGACTAATAGATTTAATGCCAAGTTCTAAATCTATATCATCTTTGTATTTCTCATTTATTTCTTAAATATTCTCATTAGTTTTTACAAACATACCAGGTGTAGAAATAGAAAGTGCACATTTATTTATGAATTAAAAACCTATCAAGGTCAATATCCAAAATTATTTAATTTTGAAATGAAAACATGCTTTGTCTAATTTTTCTGATAATTTTCATTTTTTAAATGACTGGAACAATCTAGAGACACTAATCATTCACTTTTGATAGTTTGCTTTTCTGTTTGTCACTGTCAAATCAATGTGCTAAAAACTAAAGAGGGAAATGTAATTTCCATATTTTGGAAACTGATTAACTAATTTTCAGTATTTTTGATTTAAGATAATTTACTAAAAAGTTAAATTTACAAGAAAAGATGAAGACGCATTAACCAAGAATATGAATGTAGAATTCAATGTTGATGCCTTTATAATGCAACATAATCAATGCATGTATATGGTACTCTATTAATTAACCATGATCAACAAGGTCTAGGACTAATGAGCAAAATCATGTATTAAAAGATACCAGGCAGTGGTCTTTCCAAATTAACCTGACAACCCTATGTACTCTCTAGACTGCCAGAAATGATATACACACATTACATGACAGTCAGAGTTATCTCCCTTCATCAATGTACCAGCCTGCACAATATTTGCCTATTGTAACAGAGCAAAAGTACAACCCCAACTCATTACCAACTAAATGAAGCTTGGCACCTACTCCTATGATTCCTTGTTATATCTACAGATGTATTTATCACAAAAGAAACATTTCTTTTCATTTCATTTTTTTTCAACAGGATCCCATGCATGACATCAAAGTTCCAACTCAGGCAGGCTCTATGAATGATGTTAAATTAAGGCATGAAAAGGTATGTTGTTACCTATTCAGTGAACCACTCCAGAGTTACTATATAAAAACTGTATACATAAGTGAAAACAACATTAGAACTCAGGGCTGATACAGGTTTTAACATAGCAAAGCACAGTAAAACATGTATAACACACAGAAAAGTATGCGTCCCTTTTTGATCAGAGGAAAATAAACAGCAGTGACACCAATCATACAATATAAGACACAGACTTCCTGTACATTACTAATGTACTTCTTACGTCCGTTTACAGAGGTGTACCAAGCACTTTAACAGCCATATTTTCACTTAAAACTTTCTGTCAGATCAATTGATATGATTTGGCTTGGGGCATTTTAACAAATGTATACTGAGGCCAGTAAAGCATCTAATTTGACCAAGACATAACACAAGATCCCAATGAGATCTTTGTACCCACTGTTTACTGTATTCATTGGTTCTGCATGCTTGGTCATTTTTGTTATTTCCACTTACGCGATGAATGGTAAAAAAAAAAGGCATTAAGATAATCCATATCTAATAAGAATTTGTCTAAAACATTCTGTCAAGTACTTTATCAGAATTAGAAATAATTGTCAAAATCCAAAATGGCAGTCTGTCTGTAATTTTTTTTTTCTTTTCTTTCTGAACATATTGAAGTATATGAAATATGTTTAAGATCTATCCATTACATTTGGAGAGACGTCAATAACAAATTTGAAGTGTCAAAACCAAAAAAATGCCATTTGTCTGCTGTATTTTATCATCAGCCTGAAAACCGCATAACCAAAGACCATTAACAAGAGGCACATAGAGCATGTATCAGTCACATGTCTTTGTTCGGCTGATGTTGCGTCATCCAAAGTAAAGGAAAAGAAATTCGAAGTTTCTAAGCATACAGCACACACTATATCTACTTCCCTACTGTGCCCACCCTCCATCAAGTGGTCAGTAAAGCAATTCCTGCTTGATACCCAATAGGGACAAAATCCTACCATTCTTACAAACAATTTCAAAGAATTTGCTCTATTTCCCCTAGAATGGGTACTTCACCTCCCGTTCCAAGGGGCTTAGACCTATCAATTATAGAAAACTAATTTAAATTTACTCAAGAATGTGTGTAACAAAATGTGAGCACTATACCATCATTCCTGATGGATAAAAAGGATTTTAAAGAATTTGCTCGATTTCCCCTATCAGGCCCTCTCTGTCTCGTCGAAGGAGGCCAAGACCCATCATTTATACAAAATTGATTCCCCTTCACCTATGAAAGCTTCAATCAAACTTGGGCAAAATCTGATCATTCTTACAGGAGGATTAGGATTTTAAAATTTCCTCCTTTGGGCCTGTTTCTCATGCCCCTGATTGTTGAGACCAACCATCCATATAAAATGTATTCCCACATTCCCAAAAGATGCTTCTATCCTAAATTGGTCAATATCCTTACGTCGTTTCTGACTAGTATCGATTTTTAGGGAAAAAAATATTGGCAAAAGTTGGTCGCCTCATTATGCCATTAGCTCACAAGGCCCTTTTGGCTTGGTGAGCTAAAAACATATCTATTACATTTAAGATAAATCTGCACACATTTTCATAAAAAGAACAAAACCGAACTTAAACAAAATTCAAGATGACTATGTCCCTCTTTAGCCATTTGGTTTTTCAAATAAGTGCTATAGGGAACAAAAGAGAATTTTTGACGCATGGAGTACTTGGTTATCATGTATGTTAACTTAATGCCCTTCCTGAACCCAGACAGCTATTTGTAATTCCACCTCAGACATGCAAACATATCCATACACAGCTCTGACTATACCGTCTTCATAATGCTTTTTGTGTGAGTGATGGTCTGAAATGTACAGATCTCTCCTAAATACCCCCTGTACAACAATCTATTCATTAAAAGTACTCAGCACTTCGTACAAAAAAAAACAAGAGGCCTAGCAACCTTGACTGACACCTGAGATAAGCAATGTTGATTACAAAGGTTAAAGTGTCATGAAAAATAAATTGTGACATTGATGATAGTAAGCCAGTGTCAATACATGCATACCATCAAAACTGTCATCCTATATCAATATTTTTCACAGTTATTTCCAGTGAGAAGTAAACAACATTATGTTCAAAAATGCAATTTTTCTATAAAAATTACAGATAAGTTAACCTCCCTAGGAAGAAATGAGAAACCAATATTTGTAATTAAACCAATTTAAGATGCTTCCATCCATGAAGAACATTTGATTCTACTATACCTGGGTAATGAGAAGAAGATTTTTTAAATTTAAGTCAATTTGACCTCTTTTGGCCCCACCGATCAGCCCCTGGGAGCCACCTAGAATCAATATGGACATACCATCTAGCCGTCATCCTTCTCACAATTCTAATCCAGTTTTTAATATTTCCATTGGAAATTAAACAAATTAAACTAATTATGTTCAAAAATCTATTTTTCCTTTATAAACTATAGTAAACTTTACCCCCTCCCCACATGGAAATGTGATACCCTGGGGTCATGGAATTCACAATTTTGGTAAACCACCTTAAGATGCTTTCATCCGAGAAGAATATTTGATTCTATCAAATGGGTGTAGAGAAGGGGATTTTTGAAATACGAGTCAACGTTACACTTTTGACAGAGTCCCTCAGGCCCCTGTGGGGTGGGGACTGTGTTATTCACTATTTTGGTTCATCTTAGGCTAGGAAAGGTTTCTGCAAAATTTCAATGAAATCAGTTCAGGGCATTTTGAGAAGAAGTTAAAAATGTTAAATTGTTTACAGATGCACAATGCGAGATAAAGCTGATCGTAATAGGTCAGCATATGACTTTGTCGAAGGTGGAAGATAAGAAGTTAAATTAAGTCTATCAGTAAGCATCAAGGAACAATATAAGTGTAGATCATTTCCCACAAGTAGTGCCAAAATTTGTCTATATACATGCCAAAGGACACAAAATTATATGTAACGAATGACTTCTAAAAGCAGAAGTCTCCTTAATCCTTATATAATGAGATGGAACCGTTATCAAGGTCACAGTGACTTTCATTATAACACAAAGGCACATTTAAAACTATAAACATCTGCAGTAAAAGCAAATGAAAATTTATGATGTGCCTGTGCAATGTTATGCCTCTCAAATAGGAATTGAATAAGGGCCATAACTCCAGAGAAATCAGTTGACCAGAACAAGAGGAACTAGACCTGCATCTTTTTATTATACATCTACATACCAAGTTTAATTTCAATTTTTGCCAATAGATGACGGCCAGAGCAAGCCCTACATGTCATACCTTGCCATTTCATGGCCATGGGAGGCACCAAAACTTCCAGTGACTCCATTATTTTCGAATTCAATATGTATTTGATAAAATACCGATCAATACAGGAACCAATCTTTCTTCATCCATTAAATTTCTGCATTCCCAAACAAATATCAAATAGTCTTTCCTTTTTATCTTCAAGTGCCTTTAAAGCACAGGGGAGACAACCTGTAGAGCTGATGGGAAATAACTTGGTTATCATAAAGGATAAGGGGAGATAACCTACCTCATCCGTATCAAGATCTTCCCTGCTGGCCTGCCCCACCGCATGCATGATCCTTGCACGTACACTTGAATTGTCGATATGGTAGGTTTCTTGTAGTTCACCATCCGTCAGGTGTCTGTGAAAACAAGAATGAGCACATCATCAACATATCTACTGTATGTACATACACACGCAAGCCAATGCCTGACTTTAGCTGTTAGTTTCATGGCTCCTTTGGCAGAACCATTTACCTAATTATCATGAAAACCAACGGAGCTGTGAATCCTTCTTGAAAAACTGTGACATCTAACATGAGCACTCCCTATGCAAGCTACACTTAAGAATATTTGTCACACATTACACTCTTCATGTAATATTTAACCTCCTGTAATGATGGCACATCAAATAACAACAACAAAATTAATTCATGTTGTATCTTCAAAAGAAAATAACTAAATTTTATGTAGATAAACCTTTTTTCATGTATCTACAAAACTGTCCTGATGCAATAAGTTTCACCGTGCTCCATATCATAATTTCAAAGGTAAAGATTCGAAAAATATCTCAATGCAAATACAGGGACGATGTTGTTCTTCAAAGCACAGCTGCAAAACTACAGAGAGCTATAGCTACAGGCTCACAATTACATCATGCGTTGCATATGGTACCTGCTTGACCAATAGAACATATTGATTATGAGACATTTTCTTGAAAGGTCAGTTCTTTTATTTTAAACTTCTCATTTATAAAAACAAATTGAAAAAAAGAAAGAGAAATTATCATAGTAACATAAGTCATAAGAAATTAACCTTAGCCTCACCTTGAAATGATCTTTCTGTATTTATCTGATTTTGAATCAAAAATTAAGGGAGGGGGAAAAATACATTTTATCATCATTTGTAAGAAAAAAATTTGATATCTTCAAAATGAAAAAAAAAAGGGAGACTAATCCCTAAAATCTGCATTTGTATACAAAAGCAGTATTTTAAGTCAAAGTACCATATTCTGTAAACGTAATGTAAAGCCAGAACATTTAGTCTACATTTTTCATAATCATTATATAATCTTTCCTGTCCAGCATAGCATGGATGTCATTTGGAATCAATAATCCAACCTGTGTTGCCTGTAGCAGACATGAAACTCGGTTAATGGTGTCTCCTAGATCGTGTCTATAACACTGGAATTGATGTCTCATTTTATGTCAAAGAACACATGGGTAACGTGTCTAGTTGATTGTTTATATTCAACACATTGAGAAGAGTTTACATTCATTTCATGGAGAAGTCTGTTAAATTTAAAACAGCATCTTTGGTGTTTCTTTCATTACTGAATTATATACAAGAGGCCAAGTGGGCCTGGCTGTCTTGCTCACTTGCACATGGAGATTTCTATTGATTCTGTGGCCCAAAGGAATTTGCTCTCAAGAAATCAATTTTGACAGATCTGTATGCACTTGGTTATGAGGCTGCTCTAAATTCAAACAAGGGTAACATATTGCTTCAAAATACAAAACCAAACAGCATAAATCATTCCTTTTTATATCCTAATGTTCATTTTTTTTTTTTTGTTCAATGATGCATTTTTTAAAACTTCATTCATTTCTGCAATTTCTTTAAATTTCCGCAATTCTTTCTTCTGTACAAACTTCATCATTTAGAAAATTCTTTTTGGATATCTCAGTGGTATGTCTCGGTGGTATTCTCACCAAGATTTTGAAACAGACAGGTAATTGGCCTTAACAAACAACGAAGTGAATATAGTTATAAGTTATTGCAATTTCATTCTATATCTTTACTCAAAATAGCCAATTTAGAGATGATGAATAACAAGCTCCTTCTGCCAGCAACTGTTTTTTAATGAGAACACAAACAATAATTCCTTGTAGGAGGTAAAACAAATGATAATGACCTGTTCATTTTAAAATAACTGCGTACAAATAAATTTAAATGCTAGTTCACTTATTGGACCCTGCCACTCTGTCCCTTGGATGAGGGACATAATTCTGTTCATGAAAATTTGATATGTACTTCTTCATTCATTGATACTACAGAATTTACACTTATCTTACTTTACCTACTGGCCTCAGTCCCCTGCCTCAGGGATGAGGGAAAACAGTGCATACTGTTCCCTTCCACCTAATAAAGTTGTTCCTATAAAGTTGTTCATGGCCAACTTTGGGCAAATTTTCTTCTAAACAAATCATGATATTGATGAAAAAATAATTTAATGATAACAAGAGACTATATATTGGTATTTTCTCTTGCTATTTGGGTCCAGGTCTCATGCACTCTGCCCCTTTGCTATGACCCTGTCGTATTAGAGGCATGTTACTATCACTAGACATGCAGTTATGCTTAGATAAAGATCAAAATATATTAGGGTCAGATATGATATGAATCTCAAAATATGGAAATCAAATAACAGTCCTCCATAAAATTTGAATTTTTATGCCAAGAATACACTGTATGTGGACCTATGCCCAACGTAAGAAGTTCCAGTGATTAGAAGTATAGGAGATTAAGACTGGACACTCTAATTTCTAGTGTAGATTGTTGGCTAAAGGACAAAATGAAAGCCAGTGTGTCCTATTTTTGTTAGATGACACACCATCTCATCTAGCTGATCTCATGTCCTAAATATGAAGCGACTAGTGGCGTATAGAGCTGGCACTAACTTTTTCTTTGAAGGTCAAAGGTCAAAATGTAGCTCACAATGACCTACTTTTCATAGACAAAACACAGCAACTCCAAGGTGAACCAATACTCCTAGTATGAAGTTCCTGTGACTAGTAGTGCAGAAGGTCAAAATGTAGGTCAGAGTGGCTTCTTTTGAAACATGCCACACTGCATCACCAAGATGAACCCACACTCCACGTATAAAAAGCCAGTGACAAGAAGTGACCAGTAGCTGATAGAGCCCAGACAAGATAGTGGAAAGATAAAAGGATTAAACTACCAATGTTCCCTTACTGCCAGCTGGCTTCATCTTCTTCCATATAACATTGACTTGTTGTCTTTCTTGCTTGACAGTGTCAATGGTTATCAGTGGTTGGAAAAAACAAGAAACTTTAAGATGCCAGTTTTTGTTAATTTTTTTGGTAATCTTATTTAATTAACATTGTTATAAACCCTAAATAATTTCAGAATGGGGAGTGGATTTTTTTTCTTACATCTTTTAGAGATTAAAATATAAAAAAATATTAAACACTTGACTGTGTTGTGCATTAAAATGAACATCCATTAATCTCTAGTAGACTTGATGCATATAAACAAACACAACAAACCTAATTTTATAATAACTTGCAGCAGTTGGAAAGAATAGCATACATTTACTAACACAAACATCGCTGACAAAGAAAAATTCTTCTTATTGTTGTCATTATTCTAAGGATATGAATGATACTTCTGACTGACTGAAGCTCATGATCAATGACATCATGAACAATAATATATATAATTAGTAAAGCAAGACTCTGTTAATCAGTTTTAGAATTGTGCCACTTCTTGGTTTAATTCACATATATATTCTTATTCCTTGGGATATAATTGTTCTTTGTTACCAGTAGAAATGTTGGTTAATGAAAGTGTTGGCATAGAGATATAAACTTCAGGGATGCTTTTTTACATTGCATGTGTTTGGCATCATCAGTATACATATAAACAAGCCATTGAAGTGGTCGCTGCATTTACAGTGCTAGAATTCATCATAACCACTTATTCATATAACTAGGAAATACATGTGTACAATAAAACATCAGTCTATCTATATATCTACAACGTAAATCTGCATATATATACATAGTAATATATGATAAAGGCTACATAAATAATGTACACATGTATGTATGTAAGTATAGTATACAAGGTATTGTTTATGAAAACAAGTCTGAAGCAGACTTCATGAAAGTCAACTGGCCAATATATGCATACACACAACTCCTGAAAAATGACCTTGACTCACTTTATCTATAATGTATGAATATCTTGACCCCTCTAATAAATTTTTACCCTGCAGAACAGCTACATGTATATATCATTGAATCTTTTTTTTTTTGGGTGTGTACAAGTTCTAAAGGTAAACAAACTGTTTCCTAAATATCCCCATGAATACTGATATCAATAGGAATGCATCCTGTTATATGGCCTGTACCTGATAAAGGATCCTGGGTAAATTTTAATGCTGAATCATTTTGTCAGTATCACAGGTAAACATGTGTAATTGCTGTTAGTCTATTACTGATAAAAAACTGTGAATATAAGGCCTAATTAACTTGGTCTATGAATTCAAGTAAACGTCATTGTATACATGTACTTTCTGTAGTGAAACAATATCATTACATGAGTTTTATTTTAACTAACTTACAGTACAGGTACTTATCATTCCATCAAAATTTTACATAGCAAACACAAAAGTAACCATACCCCTAGCAGTATTTCCAAGTTTAAAAGCCTTGATATGTACACATATGAGTTCACCAACTTCCAATATGTTCTCATACTTAGTATCAAGTTGAAACTTATAATTGTAATCAAAATACCAATCTCTCCAAATGAAGTTAAGAGGTGTCTGGTTTAGACAAAGTTAAAAATTACTGTAACAGAATCTCTAAATATAATGAGGAACTCCATGGGGATATATATAGTAATTTTAATCATCAAATAAAAGGAAATTTAGAAAAAAATTTTCTCCCGAATCATGTCATTGATCTGAAACACTGTCAGATCAAGATTTGATTAAGACTTACTTTCGCCATTAACATTTTGACTAATGCAACAGGATAGTTATGAAATCCATATAAAACCAAAAAGCTGGTGTATGAATAATGAGCGTACTGCTTATATTACACATGGAAAACATTCATATCTATTAATATCTATATACAGTTAAACATGATATTGAACACTACTACTCACCTGAAGCTGTCAATGGTCATATCAGAAGGGAAGTTGTTCAGGAAAGATGACAAGCCTTTCCGTCTCATGAAGTCTACAAACAGAAGATGATGGGAAAGACGTTTGAGGAGGCCTCCTCCAGTCTGTGCTTCCATGTTGGCCGGAGAACTGGCACGGCGATCAGGTGCCGAGGGGCGGAGACTTCGGTCCATGGAGGTGACAATTCGAAGCTGTTTATTTAGAGGAACAGTAAAACTTGCAACTTCCATGTCTTGCATGTCATCGCTGAGGTCTATGCTTTCTCTCAGCCTCGGACAGTCACTATTGTCATCGCTAAAATCATCGATTCTACTTCTGCCATCAAAACTCCGGAAACTTGCAGTCGTACTACAAGGGGAAAACCCAGACGACGACAGAGACATTTCTTCCAATTCATCATTAATGCTCTCCCTATGGGCACGACTAGATTTCGGTGACTTTTCTACCGTAGCAGAGGTAAGCTCTGAAGTGCTTGTACTCTCTGATATGCTGAAACTAACAGATGTTGTAACAGAGTCACTGACAGCTTGCTGTGAAACACCTGACTGACAAGTTATAGAACTGGATAGATCTGTTACTTGCTCAAGACTAGAAGTGTCAGAATTCAGCTCTAAGCTTGGAAGGTTTTCCTCTTCATCAGTCTTCTGTGATTCATTGCTCCCTAGTCTAAATATAGGCCGGAATAGTTTCTGTGCAGTGGTTTTCTCCCTACTGCCCTCCTCACTATCAACATGACCTACATCTTTGAAATCAAGATTTACATCTTTTAAACTAACTGTTGCTGTAGTCGAGTCATCAGAAGCAGATGGCAATGGCGTGTTTACACTGTTCACTGTTCCTAACTTTACCCCACACGCTGATACTGTAGCACATTGACTAGATTCTGATTGGTCTTTTGAGACATTGTCAGTTGTGTCTTTCACAGTTTTTGCATGCTTTGCCTGAACAGGTTTTGGACGTACTACTTTATTATCCTTAGCTGTTCGAGACGTTTGACCTCGAGAAGTACTTGATTGTCTGGCTGGAGATCGGGAACTAGCTGAGGAACCACTTGAGCGATCAGGTTCCTTTCCATCAACCTTTGATTTTGTCCGGACCTTTCTAGTTTTTTCAACTTTCTCGGTCTTCTCCAATTTTTCAGAAGATGATGTTTTACTGGGTTCCACCTTTTCACCGGAGGATGATTTACTTGCAACTCCAGTCTTTTTTCCTGTACTACTTTGAGGTTTGGTGGGTTTCGGAGATGAAACTTTCTTGGAACCACGTACCTCAAGTGAGAATTTAGATGATAATGATTTCCTTGATGATGCCATTTTGGAATCAATTTATAGTGAAAATATGTTTAAGTAACTATATTATCATTTCCTTTCTCGGTTTGCTGATCAGTTTGCCAAAGGCTAACTTTTGGCTGTTCTTCATTGTTTCCATTTCCGTTGTTGACGATTTCCTTTTCTTGGTGGACGAGAATTTATTTTTTACACACATATACCAAATCATATGTGCATTCACTGTGTCTAGGTATTGATTTTTACTCATTATAATAAAATCAGATGTAGAATTATTTCGTTCATATATTAAATTGTAAATAAAAATCAAATGTTTACTTTTAACACATTACATATGTAAACACGCCACAAGTAAACATAGGATTACAAATACAATCATACAATACACAAACACAAAATACACAAACCGCACTATTGACTCTCGATCACGAACGTAACAGCCCCAAGTTCTTTAGGGCTTCTTCTTCCAGTTCATCATACTTTTATACTTAATTTTCCTTTAATGAACAGTTGTATTCCCGTCTGCCCATGGGAACAATGTCATGTAATGAATCAGTCTTGCCAACGAAAAACGCAATCGACCTCCACTGCCGAAATATAACAACGGCCATCTTCGACACGATCTGACAAAATGTATAGAAGGTTTTCCGCGTTTAACACCAACAATACATTCGATTCTAATCTCCAAAATGTATTCCTGAACGAAGGCTGTAAATATGTCGTCAAATATCTCCTGACGTCGATAGGAAGTACACTAAGCTCCATCCATCACTAGCCAGACAGGTCGTTCCCGTCCATTCGGTAGCATTGTGGGTATGATTACATCGGATCATATCCGGGTCAACGTAGCCAGCTTAAACTGAAAACCGCGGGAATATTTAAAAGTTTGTCGGGTACGCTTTACTAACTTGCGATATTTGTTTCAGTAAAATATGTCTAAATGTTGAAGTTTCCTTTAAAATGAGATATAAACAATTTGAGTGTCATGAAAAAGACGTTTCAAAACGATATATAGAGGATAGTAAATGTGCCCAAATGTGGCCATAATTTGAAAGAATGATAAACTGAAATTCCGTCATCACATCTCAGTGTAGAGATCTAATGTAATACTTCAAATCACATACGAATAACTCAACTGAGCGGGGCTTTAATAATTTGAATTCTCAAATTTTCTTGGAACCTTGAGCAGTTAATCTATATAATTGCTGTCAAGTATGTGTGGCATTTATTGGTAAATTTACCATAACATGATTGTGCTGTATGGTCTGCTATATTGAACTATAAACTAGAATGATTATAAGATGTATAATGTTAATATCAAATTAATAGTAATATTATACTTTCAAACACTGACAATGTATTCTATTTATCCTGCAACAGTGATTTGAAATCAAGCCATCGAAACTTCAACAGTTTTGTTGTTCAATTTTTGTTTATCTGACATTGACATCACCCTGAACTTTGTTCGATGACATAGGCAATATGGTCTCTGTAACTCAGCTGACAGGCACAGATCAATGATTTCGGGTTAGAGAGGACACTCACATTTGCTAATTGAAAAATTAATGTTTGTACTGTGTCAGACACTCCCATTTGTTCTCCATATTTCTTCTGTTTACCTTTAGATTACATTACCTTTATACATTTTGTTATCGTTCTCAATTCAATTTTTGCAAATATTGACAGATTGCATTATAAATAGGACAGCAGACAAACCCTTAAAAATCAAACGAATATATAATGTACAGTAATGTTATGGTAAATTTACCAATAAAACTACTTACCTGAAGGCAATTATAAAATTCAGCTTTTCAATGTATGAATCAGGCTGTAGCTCTGGAACTTGTGAATACAAATAATTAATGACCTAATTTGAGCTGTTCACAGGTGATCTGTGCTGTTTTACATTAGACCTCTACACTTAGCAAATTTTAGAAAGGCACACTGCGTATGTGCCACATCTGGATCCATCTATGGTTGACAGCACATCATCTTTGACTCATTGTTAAAGCTGTAGATTATCAGGGTTAAAGAGGAGACCTGGATAAAATTCCTTCCTGGACACTTGACAGGAATTCAAATTTGTATTTGTCTCTGATCTATTACACTGGTGCTGACAAGTAAATCTCCGACTGTACCTCCAAAATCCAGTGTTCACTAGCATTTGCAGATTATTCTGCAGATATATACATGAACAATGTCACATAAAAGAATTCATTATATTACAAATCATTTCATAGCAGCTAAACAAGAGGGCTGATTGATCAGTTGTGAGTCTTGTATGTAAGGGTTTGACTTTTGGCAGACATATTTCATTATTTTTCAACATTATCCCCTACAGTGTCTATATTTTAGACAGTGATGTTTAAGGGCCTTAATGCCACTTTCAAAGAAGTGGTTTTCTTGACCGTTCAGAAGTCCTTCACTTCATGTATGATGTCATCATCAGACCAAAAGTAGGTAAAGGAAATGGCGTTTTCAACTTAGGAAATTGGGCGAATTAGGGCGATTCTCAATCAATTCAAAAGCCACAATCTTTACTATAGTAATGGCAGCCATGACAATAACAACTTGTGAACAGGGGCATTGTCCATGTGGGACAACACACCTTTACTGTGTTTTCCGCAGTGCTTGAGTTTAATATTTGCTCTTAACTGCCCAAGAAGTGATGCATAATATGTGCCATTAATTGTTTGTCCCTCTTGCAGAATATCAGAATACCATCAGCATCTCAGAAAACAGAGGCCATAACCTTTCCAGCTGATGGCACAGTTTTTGTAACTCTCATGTCGGCCATATCAGTAACCGAGGCCATAACCTTTCCAGCTAATGGCACAGTCTTTGTAACTCTCATCTTGGCCTTAACAGTATCATGGACTTAATTGACCATTTCTGGGGTTGCTTCAGTGTTAGGATGGGTGTTATCCCCAAGACTCTGCCTGTCACACTTAAATTCTGCCACCCAACTTTTCACTGTAGCATATGAAGGGGCATCATTCCCTAGTGTTGCTACCATAACATATGGATATCCTTAGGTGTTAGACCTTTCCTTATGCAAATATTGAATCACTGCTCTATTGTCCATTTTTCAAAAGTCACTTGCCATGTTCAATTTAGAGTGCTACCTCTTTGATATAAATTGACTAAATGACACCAGTCTTCCAGTACACAGCCTGAAATAGTCAGGGAATAGTAGAGCTGGAAAAGGACATCCCTGCTTAATCTCTTCAATAGAAGGCTCACAACTTACTAATCACACCTTGTATTTATTCAGGTAATGTCTGCCCAGCAATTAATACCAAAGTGAATATGTCCTCTTTACAGAGTATTACAGAGTATTCTTAAGGACAATCTGTGAGAAAGTGGAAGAAAATTATTCTACTATCTTAATGAATGTGCACAGTGTAACTTATAGTAGTGTTGTCCATTTAGGACAGACTGATTGACTTGAAATTGCATAAATTATACATAATGAACCCCCCAACCCTGCAGCCACATCCCCTTTCCCTCCTCTCTCTCTGTATATGTGTAATTTTGTATTTACACATGTCATCTTGTCTTTTCAATATATATTTTCTCAATGTGTGGTATTATGAAGAAAGGGCATAACAGAAGTTGGAAAACCTGTGCCCAATCCCATTGTATTTGTTACATTGAAATATGTGTAAATCAATATCTTAAAGTATCATTACACTTGTCATATGTTTCACAGGTTTCTTCCATAGAACTCCCATTCTACAATGAGGAAATCATATGGTTTAACTATTGACTGATAACCATGTGTACCAGATGACCTCTCGACTATTCTGGTGTTGGGAAGGTGTAATGGCTTAGTTGCTAGTGTATCACACTTTGCAACCTGAGGTAAGATTCTAGGTGTGTGGTTTGACACCTGTTCTAAAGGTATCCAGCATTCTGTAGGAAGTGGTAAAATATCAGAACATACTTTACATGCCAAAGACTTTACCCAGAGTGCTTTGGACAGCATGAGGTGGGCCTCCCTTCTGATGTTCAGTGAGGTATTCACTATACAGTTACTACAGGGAGACTGTTTTAAAATGACCCTGGCTGCTGATGGGGCAATAAATCCAATCAAACAAACTGCTGTTGACTTCTATTATGCAACATTTAATAACAATAAGCAACAGTGAAAATGGTTCAAGCTCTTTTGAAGCACATGAGTTCATGAATTAGATTGTACATGTACTTGAGATGTTTAGATCATTCGTGTGACCTTGAGAGTAGGTTAAGTTAACTTTAACCCTTCATTCAAGCCAGACAGAAGCCTAATCATCACTACAAGCTTTAAAGCTCTGATGAGAAGTTTATATTTTGACAGTCCTGATCAATGTCTTTATAAAATGTTGCACAAGACAGCTTATAAGAATATGTTTTGGAGAAAAAAGAATCTATCTCCTAAGAAAGGCTAAAACTAGTTATCATTTTTCATAGTTGTATAGGAACTAGAATTATTTGCATGTGTACACTTTTCTTTGTAATTTCTGATGGAGGAAAGCTCTTCAATAAGAAAAAAAACTGAAGACAAAGCTTTATGATACATATTCAATATTTTATCATACATTTCATTTTGCATTTCCACATGTGTCTCTTATGTACTTTTTTAGTGCAGTAATAAATGTTGCAGTCGCATTTGAAGAGAATTGATTACATTTTTTGTAGTAAATTACACTAACAAAAGAACACAATGCTTACATTGTTATCAACATGATCAAATATAATTGCACTGTACATACAGATGGTCAAACTCTTTGTTACTTTATTTATCTATCGTTATGCAAAACCAGTGTTGTTTCTTCAGAATGATGAGAAATAGATGAGAAACAGAATCTTATACCCTTCATATATTGTCAAATATATTTGTCGATATTTTCCTTTCATGAAACTTCTCTTGACAGAAATATATCAGTACACCACAATATGCTTCCCAAGATCCTAAAATAATTCTTTGTAAAAAGAAAATATATCCTTCAGCACTATTTCACAGTAAAACTAATGATTCGTATGTCATCATGAGGTTTGTCTGTTTTTGGGTTAGTTTTCACGTTTCCGATATTCTGTACGACCTCCATGCCCTTCACAACGCGCCCGAATACTGTGTGTTTATTGTCCAACCATGGCTACAAAAGATAAAAAACTTATTAAAAAAAACACCATTGCATTTTGCCTGCAGATAAGTCCACTGGTCCAACACATTCACAGGGTGTGCCAATGAAAGAACATTCATCTACAATTTTTAATGAACAGATAAATAGTGCATCATGCAAACATCAGACAGAACATAATATCCTTTTTTTTACTGTAGAAACGGAAAAGGGAGGGAGACAGAAGTAAAAGGAAAGACAGTATAGCAGGTGAGAGGAGGGAAGGGTCTGAAGGAGATGTCAAATAGGGAGGCAGTTTTAAGGAAAAGATGAGAGAGACGAAGAAAGTGCCAGCGTAGGGGGTCAAAATAAGAGAGAGATTTCAGACATGTAGAGAGTGGGGAGCTTGGAGGAAGGAAGGACATATAAATGACAGAGAAGTGGAAGAGGGACAAAGTGGGGGAAGTGGAGAGAAAGAGAAGTAGCAGTTTGGGGGAGGGGAAAAGAGGGAAGGGGAAATGAAAGGGATTTTGTTAAGTGATAGGTGATAGGGAAAGCGATAGGAGGAGGCAGGGTGCTTGTGGGAGAAGAAAAGTATAGAGGAGGAGAGAGGGAATGAGTTAACGGGACGGAGGGTTGGGGGGGGGGGGTTGGGGTTTATCAGGAGACAGGATTTTAGGGGGAAGAAAAGTAGAGGATATGGTAATGAGAGGGATGGGAAGAGAGACAGATTGAGCTAATGTCGGATAGGAGGAAGAACAGGAGTCTATGGGGGAAGAAAAGTAGAGAGGATGAAAGTGTGAGGGTAGAGGAAGACCAGATAAAAAGAGCTAAAGGGTGGGGGAGGATGGAAGCTGGGGAGGGGGAGAAGAGGGATCCAGGTAAGAAAGGGAGGATAGGAGAAAGAAAAAGAGATAGGAGGATAAAAAGTGGAGTGATTGAAAGTGAGAGGTGAGAATTTTTTTTTTTTTTATTTCAAACCTAAAACAATTTGGAAATACTTACAGTGGGACAGACTGTGATGAAGAATTGCGAACCATTAGTGTTGGGGCCTGCATTGGCCATGCTCACTGTGTAAGGTCTATCATGTCGTAAAGAAGGATGAAACTCATCCTCAAACTCACCACCCCAAATCGACTCACCACCAGTGCCATTACCTAAAATAGAAGGAATACTGAAAATCACATACAGTTATTAAAAGGTGGGAAAAGTGACAAAGTAGCTAAATGCAAAAACAAAACTTATACAACACCATCCACAAAACAGCAGATTACAATACCTGTAGTTAGAGGAAATCACAATCTGAATAACATTTTAATATGGATGGTTGAAATCTATTCCGCTACTTTCTGAATCTACTCTTTGTCACTAGAAAATCAAAGTTACTATTTTCTAATTAGAGACTTAGCATGATGGTCTCCAGTATGTAACATGACTTACCCTCTGGGTCCCTTGTTTGTAGCATGACTAACCTTCAGAGTTCCCATGTCTTTAACCTTACTTACCATCAAGGTACTCTGTCTGTAGCATGACTTACCCTCATGGTCCCCTGTCTGTAGCATGACTTACCCTCAGGTCCCCTGTCTGTAGCATGACTTACCCTCAGGTCCCCTGTCTGTAGCATGACTTACCCTCAGGTCCCCTGTCTGTAGCATGATTTACCATCAGGGAACCCTGTCTGTAGCATGACTTACCCTTAGGGTCCCCTGTCTGTAGCATGACTTACCCTCAGGGTCTCCTGTCTGTAGCATAACTTACCCTCAGGGTCTCCTGTCTGTAGCATGACTTACCCTCTGGGTCCCCTGTCTGTAGCATGACTTACCCTCAGGGTCTCCTGTCTGTAGCATGACTTACACTCAGGGTCTCCTGTCTGTAGCATGACTTACCCTCAGGGTCCCCTGTCTGTAGCATGAAGCCTTTGATGACTCTGTGGAATATGTGACCATTGTAGTATCCATTTTTTCCATGCACACAGAAGTTCTCCACAGTCTTTGGACATCTGCAAAGAAAAGCTAAAGCCTGACAGTATATGTATAAAACACAGGCACAATTTCGACAGGAAAATCTGAAACCTTCAGATCAACATACATTACTGTGTGTGATGCATGGTATTAATTAATTGATATTTGGACGGGGATGTCAGGGTGGTGTAGTTTTATAGGCAGTTGTCATATTTCTTGGCTAGGTATTTTGGTGCTGTAGATTGTGAGTTTGAGACCTGGATAGGACATGAGTCAAAAATTGTCTTGCTTTGTCAGTTGTGTTACCATGTCCAAATATATCAAGGTATAAGAAAGAGTTGCAACTCTTATCTTATATATATATATATTCAATATAACAATGACAGGCATTAACTCCATTCCACCACTGTTACCAAAATTTTGATATAGACCATAGTTTACTGTTGCCGTTTTCCTCCAAAATAAACACTTTTACAATACTTTTCTGTGGAAATGTGATCTTTACAATCGTTACTAACTTTAACACAATATAAAGATTATCAAACAAACCAGGCAAACTATTATAGGTATAAAAAAAATTCAGCCAAATATCTACCATTTTCACAATGAGGAACTGCAAAAACCCTGTGATGGGCCAAACCCCTAATATCAGAAGCCAACAACCTGCCATCCCAACAGTATTAGAATTCAGCAATTTGATACAAAGTCAGTTGTGAGCCATAACTTTCAATATTGTGTGGCAAGAGATCCAAGCAAAAATAATTTCTGATGTTTTTTACATATTCAAGAATTTAGATGGTTGCTATGAAGAAGTTTTTGACAATGGGTGGGAGACTGGATTTCAATAAATCCTTTACTTACTCTTTTGCAAACAGCTTGATGTGAATGTCACCCATGGTGGTGTGGACAGTACAGTTCTCTGATACCCGAGTGTATGACGTGTCCTGTGGAAAAAAAAAACATTAACCTTAACTGTCAGGTAGGATTGCAACTCAACACAGTATTACATTCTACATTCAGGATCAAGACAATCAAATTTAAATGTACACTGCTGTTTTTGGCAATATTCTGTACCACACATGCTTTAAAAGACCTTCATAGATAAATATCCTTGAAATTTTGATTTTAAAGTTCATTGAAACCTTAAAGTTTGTAAACTACATGTTTCTTTCTTAATTATATCAATATATTGATAAATAATTGTATTAGTTGACATGAAAATACAATGCATAAATTGCATGTGTATAAATTCATTAAGCATGGTGAACAAAATAAAAACAAAATCACATGACAATAATTTAAATCTTGTAAGTTATGACACTGCAAAGAAATTGGCATGAGGATTATTAAAGAAAAATGGAAAGATCTTTCAAGTTTTTACGTGAATTATGAGCATTATCAACATTTTTTATCAGACACAATGACCCTGTCTGGTAATCTATTTTCATTGTCCTGTAATAAGCTCAAGCCCTAGCTTTAATTAATTAATGACGTTGACCATCTCATTAAAGGATAAATCCATATGAAATAAGATATACAAGAAAAAAGATGATGCTATATAGCTATACCACCATACCTGTGTGGCGGACACCATGTCCTCCTTCGATGGTTTCTCGTTGAACACATCTCTCTCTGTTTCTGAGCTAAATAAACAAATTAATTATATTTATTCTATCAATAATTCAATTACTCTTATAACTTCTATATAAAGACATGTTGATCACATTGAAAAAGCAGAAAATGAATCACAAAATATCTTAACAAAATATTCCAGACTGGATGAACAAGGAAGCCATATTTCTGTCATTTGAAAACATAAACTATCTGAAAGAAACATATTTTAGTATTCTAAATCTATGTGAATTGGCATAACAATGAATTACATGAACAACAAATGTAGTATTCATAATTCAGCGTAATATTCTTCAGACAAAATGTATTGAAATTAGATTACACTATACCGCTAATATTAGGTCACTCGAACTAGGTCACATCTAAAACTAGATTTCCACTAAAATTAGATCACGTTTACTACAACCAAAACCAAATCATGAATTTTTACAGCAGTTAGAAATAATGCTAAAACTTGATCCCATATCACAAAGTAAAATTCACCTTTTAATATCATCAGGTTCCCTTCGAGAAAATAAGTAAAATCGATTCTTCTTGAAAGCTGTACAAAACAATATAGGGTCAATGTTGACTGTCTGTAGGATTGGATTTTCTGACGCAGCCATTTCTGCATCAACAGCTGCCTTGCGTTTTTTGCCTGTACCCTGGAACATGCTTAGTCCAAGCAAACGTGCATTCTCCTTCTTCCCCAGCATCCGAACACATCTGTTTGTGTGTAGGTTTATCACTGAAATGTATACATACAGATATACTATAAAGTATATATAATAAGCTAATAAACAAACCTGATTTTTTTATGAGTACTTTCGGTCTTCTTGATTTTTGGCATCTCATCCTTTCATAAGTTACTGACTCACTAATATAAAATATTCATCCTGTAACTAAATTCAGGAAGGTGGAGAAACAGGTGTTCTTTTATCCCAAAGTAAACAAAACATCACCTGTTGGTATCACCCTTAATAGCCACACATATGAAAGCCAGGTTATTAGCATTCATTACAAGGCAAATTTTTTACACTTATTGCCAGATATACACTGTGCCTAAGACTTAAAGAGTGTTTATTAGGTCAAATACATTTAATTTACAATCGGTTCTTCTGGTGAGTTCACCTTGCATTTTTTCCATTCAAGAATATTTGCCAGAAGATACAAAATAATGCTGAAACAAATAGATTATAGACATAGGTATTTAATATTATAAAACAAACGTACCTTTGATTCCTAACATTGTAGCATAAAGTACAAAATGTCCGCTCTCATCAAAAACTGAAATAAGAGTAACAACAAATCTGATTGCATAATTTGGCATACTGGTAAATTCTGAAACCTGACATTAGAAACTTTGCAAAAATAGCACAACATTTTAGAGTTAAATAAGTACGTTTGAGATGTTACAACAAAGAGGACAGATAATCTAGAAAAACAAACTCAAGAAATTTAAGAAATACATGTTGTCAATCCTATTAAAGCAAGAATATTTCCTATGTAATATTGGAGTACAGAGTGTACCAGCACTGGACCGACAAAGACTTACTGCAGACATGAAGGGTACCTTGAGTATGCTGTATATCAATCTGCTCCAGAGAATTTGCTGCTGTTTCAGTACCACAGAGACCAAAGTATTACAGAGGCGAGGGTAAAGGCTACCTACGGTGTATGCAATATTTATACTAACAACCTTCCCTGAAAACAATGGGCTGGTATACTTAATCAATTGTCAATGAAGACAATGGAAGTCATAACCAACACATTCTCTACATATTAAACAGCTATAAAGATATTACACTTACTTATGCTACATCTTTGGAAAGATTCTGTTTTCTCTAAGTCTCGTTCAACAGCTAAACGACGTCCAAACTCCATATTAGGTAACTGCTGCTTCATCTGTAAGAAAACACAAGGTCTGATGTAACTGTGATTAATCTGGTGATATATAAAATGCATAAAGGGTTGATCACATATCTTTCCATGTTATCTAATTAGATCTATTCCTGTTTAGACAATTAGTCTCCTTTTCTGTAATCTATCAGTTTCAACACAAACTAACCAGGAAAAAGGTTTTGATGACAATTTAAGAATGATATCAGTTTAGTTCACCTGATAGATGTTAAAAAAATAAAGTATTCTAGTTAGAATTTATGTCACATTTGAAAACCTCACCAAACAAAATACCATATTTATCAAACCATAGATCAATGCACCATAATGAGCCCACCCATGAATGCTATTTCTTTGTCCTGTAATAAATCCATCCCGGAGTTTGAGTGAGGTGTTGATACCCTGGGCTTATTGCCAGTTTGGTTGTTTAAACGTTTATCACCCTGTGAACAGTCAGAAATAATTTGAGATGGGATCTTTTTATAGTAACGGGTGGTAATCCCATAAAATAATATATGGAAGTTCCATATTACATCAACCAGAGCAATTAGGACAAAGTGCTCATGGACACAACCTTGTCGGCACAGAATGATCCCTTTCCTCAGCTTCCTGAGAAACACAAACTAACTAAGGAACATCAAACCACACACCTTGGATGTCCACCTGAGGTTATGTATGTCAATGCTCTACTGACTGAGCCATTGTGGTCCCTTATTGCAGGGTAGATAGGGTATGTGGTTCCACTAGTCTCTCGTTCACACAGTGACTAAATATAGTCTGTACTGTAATGTTTCTACAATGGCTATTTACCTGCTGTAGTTCTGTAAACTGTTTGAGTGATTCATCCAAAACTTTGGATAATTTTCCTGTTAAAAATTTGAAGATTCTAACCTAAGGAAAAAAGAAAGCAACATTTCAGAAATTTTAAAGAAAATAATTAAATTTTATTAAAAGTACAATGAATCAAATTGACCATTAACTTAACTGTTTCTCACACAAATCTCTCACCCAATTGACAGATGAATCAGACTAAAGGTAATGATTTAAAGAAACACCAAATGTATTCAACACATTAATCTTCCACAAAATACATATCGTATTGATGTAGGCAATTAAAAGATAGACAATCAGTCCTTCAAATATTTATCAAGGTTCTGTTTAACTGCTAGATTTAGTGTTAGTTCAATGACTTACTTTTCTGTCCTTTGCTATCGAGGCCATCATTTTTCCATTTGGAGAAAAACTGATATCGCTAGGAATGGTCTTGTTCTGAAATCAAAATGACAAAATAAACTAATGAAAAACCTTACATATTTTCAGACAAAAATTTGACTGACCTCTTAATGGCTGAATTTGTTAAAAAAATTACAAAAAAAAACAATGACATCACTGACAGTGCTTTATAAATTGATAAAAAATTAACTATAAATATAAATTTCATCAACACATCCATTCTATTTAATACAATTTTTGATATATGTAACAAATCAATTTACATGTACTAATATCAACCCCTTAAATTACCACTATTTTTTTCTTGCAACTACAAGTATATTAACCAACAGCAAAACATACTTTAATCTTTTTTCTTATCACTCAATAAGCCAAGAGGACCAAGAAATAGCCTTTTGCCTGAAGTGAGAGGGCAAGACAAGGCTGGGTGAGGTGTGGGATGGGGTTTACTTCAGGAAAATGATCATTTGAAGTAGCTTCTAATGAAACTAAGGATCTGCAAGGAATTTGGGATTACCAGACATGTGTTTATGGCCACATGCGTACAGCTATTGAAAGGAACATTTCATATATCAAGAAATTATCCATTAGTCTCAAAGGGCTAACATGAAAATTCTGTCTCAAAGTCAGGAGGTGGGCTTATTGCAGGACAAGGGAAAAAGCATTTGTTTGTGATTCTATTGAAGAGAAATATATATATATATATCTGTGGGCTTATTGTCAAATATATATGACCGTTTCAAATTAATTTCATTATCAGCAGTGTTTACATGTTCCTGGGGGAAGGTATAAGCATGCTATTTTTATTTTCATGAACAGAGGTAATAATCTTTGTATCATGATTTATCTAGTGTGATGAGATCTCTGTAATTTTTTACACACATAGTAATCACACACAAATATATTATCAAGTATTTACCTGAGCAAATGTATACAGGTCTGTATCTGTCTTATACTCCCATTTCACATTTTTAGGGAATTTGTAGTCATACTTTGGACCAGTCCAGTATTCCAGCATGCCATCATTGTCAGCTGACACAGCTACCTCATACACAGGGTTGTACTGTATGACAATATTAAAATCTTGCAATTTTCATTTTCTGGTCAATTTGCCATTTAAATTTCCTTTATAATGAAAATTCATCTCTCATTCTTATGTTATTTCCATCATTAAATTACTAAAAAGATTTTTTTCTTTTTCAGTTAAAAATGGCAGAGATACAGAAAAGTTCTAATAATTACATATTGGAAGAATCTTGATACTATTCATTGATATGATTTTCAACTGTGGTGATATATCTATACCATGGTTCTCTACCAAGTGATTAGATTATCTCCCTTGATTAACAGCATGCATCTTACCCTGATCAGCTTCACTGGTGAAGAATGCATATTTGAGAGTGTGTGAAGTGGTGTGCTTGTTCCCCTCCCATCATATATATGTATATTACTTGTGTCTTTCTCCGATCTGTAACAGAGAGATTAATTTCACATAGAAGATGATAATACTGATGTAGAATGTTGGGCATGACGATGAGTAAAATGATGAAATAAACATTATAATTTCTAAAGAGTACACAGAAAATGATGATATAGACATCATTTCTGAAGAGTACACAGATACTGATTAACATTTTTATAGTTTTTGTGATGCAACAGTGTTATCAACAATTCATCCTGCGTTTGAAATATAGTTGTCATTAACAGAACAACAAGGACAACAAAACTTGTGTCATTTGCTAATAAATATATATAGACAGATATATGAACTGATGACATGCCAGGACTTTCGAGTTTGGCTCAATGCTTTCTAGATGAACTAATCCACATTATGATACCCTATAAAGGACATCTCTCTTTACAAAAATGATGTCCAGACTCATTTGAAAAATTCATCGGACATGTTATGCCCCGTCAGGTCTAGAACTATATCCATGATCAAACTTCAACATTTTGTTCCAACATTAGCATTTAGATCTCTATACTTACACAGCAAGGGCACAGACTGGATCCCCCGAGGCAAAGATCCAGCCGCAGGTGTGTGGGGCATAGTTTAACTTCATCATGTTTATCATATCTGTTAAAAAACATTTGATATAATGATTTTTACAAATGACACCAGAGGAGGTATTTGAAGAAAGCATCATAACAATCTTTTATATAACTGGAGATAGAACAATGTCAGATTTTTTCTAAAACATCTAGAATTATCCATGTCATCTAAAGATTTCAATATATGAAATTTTATATAAAACAAAAGAAACAAAATATTAATGTCAGATTTGCAACACTGATAAATTCATTTTTAAAATATGCAATATTCAACAGTGATTTTTGGGACTCAAATATTTCAATCTTTAAATCATTCTTTTCCTGTGGAACTTCCTCAAGTTTTGAGAACTCTCTATATCTCTTTGTAACTAGACTCGTCCAAATGAAATGATGCTCTGCACTCAGTAGAAAAAATCCTAACACCAACTGTGACAATATTATACATATTCTGTTCAGTTCACTCAAAAATGGTTCTTTGACTTACCAAAATTGACAACATCAAACATTTTGGCAGATTTATCATCAGATATTGTACAGCAGAGATCTCCCGGACCGCTCACAGACATATCTTCAATTGTTCCTGTAATATTCAAGATACAGAATAAATATCTTTTCCTGTGATAAACAAGATAGAGTACAGCATACCCACCTGTAATAGTGAGATCCAGGATAGAATATATACCGACATGTTGTTAATTATCTAGAGAGGAAGACCATGATCTGTCCTCGCAATCGCAAGTTACTATACAGAGCAGTTTTTCTGTATTATGCAGAAAATGGTAATAACATTCTGCAATGTGCAGCATTCTTACCTAAATGGCTCCTGAAATGCTTGACAAATTCAATGCCTGCATCTTCATTTTTGGTCCAGAATTTGACATGCCCATCACAACTGGCAGTGATAATGAATCCAGTCCTGCATACAAAAATCACCATACAGAATAGATATACATATCTAACCAATCTAATCAATGATCATAAGACACACTAATGAATAGCACCTGTTATCACAAATTTAGAGTAAGATCGGTAGAGCCTACAGCAGAGCCAAATAAAGAATTAAACTGCATCATACAGCTGTTTCCTCCTTCTAGGATGTGTCTGTGATGCTAGGGACCTAAATTTTGAAGTCTTTGAAGCAGTGGAGGAAAATCCAAAGTGATCAAAAGAAAAAGAAAAATCTAGCTGAGGAGGTAGTCCTTAGTTGTATTCATGCTTTCTGGTTCTTTAAAATAGCTTTACTTCTAAAGTGAGTACCAAACTGTAACAATGTTCTGACACCTTTTTTACAATACAACAACCTTTGCTATTCTATGACATATATATAGCCTTTAGTTTTAGTTCTCTACAATGGACAGAAAGCAAGCCCTACAAAGCTCTCTTGTATCTTCCATAAGGAATAAATCTCATGTCATCTGCTGTATATATCAATATTCTATTTTTAACATTTGAGATTTATTAAGTGGATTTCACAGCTGTAATAGTTACCATAACACAAAAAACATTAAACCTAAGATAAATAGATAAACTGAATATTTAATAAACAATGTAAACACATTTACCTTGCTACTGCCACATGAGTGACAACATCTCTGTGCATGAAACTTTTCTCATAAGATTCAGCATTTGGCATGTTGTCCAGGTAAACCTGTTCAAACTCTAGCACTAAAAGTGGTGGAAAATATAAATTCATAAAACAATAATAACAGTTTCAAAAAAATCTTCACAAAAAAGGAAAGTATCTTTTTTTCTTAATGTTGATATATCATTAAAAAGTCCAATATCTATATTGCTCATTTCTCTTGTCACAACATCACTACAGTACAACTAAACCTTATATAATATCTGTATTAAAAATTTCTTCAATTATTATTATCTAGTTGGGAACATTTTTTCTGATTTAAGAGGATGGACGCTATATCTTGGGACATATTCTCACAAGTCGAATCAGGGGTGACCTTCAGTCATCAGTGATTTTCCCATGGGACTTGCCCAAATTTTGATAAAACACCATATTTCTTTGTCTTGGAACACTTTTGGAAATGGACTTATTGACTTGTCTGAAAAAATCCTATAAAAATTAGTCATGAAGGCATTTTGTATTAAATAATCACTCCAGTTACTAGATCAACTGAAATATTACATTGTGATTTTTTTGCGATTTGGAAGCAAATGTATTGGCTATTTTAAGCTCCATTGGGAAGGGAACAATTTAAAGTGTATGAGTTATAGAATATAGCTGATCTGGAGTTGCAATGGCAGTAAGTAGTTATAGGATTTTAACTTTTCTTTAAGAGACTTTATGAAAAAGGGATAGGATTTATACATATCTAAGTCTGTGGTTTCATACTATCTCATATGAAAGGAAAACCAAGTTAAAACACTTTTTATCACACAACTCAAAGAAAAAGACAGCAAGTTAGAGTGTTCTCAACATTTACCAGCTTCACAGAACAAACTTTTATCACTTTGTGACTGGTTTCACCAGTTATGGCTTGTCAGGGCAAAGTTAACCAGATTTCAGCCTCAAAGTACCATCAAAGTGATACCTTATCATGTGACATTATATGCTTATAGGGGCAGCAATACTTATATTTCAACAGGTTTTAAAATTTCAAATTGTGAAGGACAAAATCTTATTAAGGCAGCCATTTTGCTGCACCATTTTCGAAACAAAATTGTCACAACATAAAGCACATGTGAATCAGTCAGTGAATTATATATTTATCCAAAACCACTTACTATAATCTATTTCATCATTATAGTTAACAATTGACACCCTTTTTGTTGCAAATGCTTTTTTAAAGAAATTAAATGAGTTTCTGTTTCAAATTACCCCGCATCAGAGCAACAAATTAATTACTCAAGGCAGTAACTGTCACTCAAAATCAGAATCATTACCCATATTTGATTTGGGTTTGTTACCAACCTGTTCAGCTGTTTATAACGTGATAGGACGTTGGCATTTCAACCCTGTGATTGTCTCAATTAGTATTTACCAATCCGTTTATCCTTTTATGTTTACATTATCACGTGAAATCTGGCATTTTCTATACACGTCAATATCAATATCGTGTTTATGCATTGAAATATCGAGGTAGCGGATAGAGGATTCAAAGTATCTTGAGACAAAATTTAAAACTCGGTTACAAAGCTGTTTAAGGAAAAACTGTTTCCCGTTGATACAGAATGCTATATTGTTTTACCCTTTCTCTTTTTGGTCTTGACAGCTTCTTCAGGCATGGGACCAACCCATTCATCGTCATCTTCTTCCACTTCGTCGAAATCACGCTTACCGCTTTCGGCCATTGCTGCGTTCTGGGGTCAGTAAAACGTTTGTGGCAATTGCACTAGTACATACAACCTTGTCCTGACGTCGATATCTAAGCGCCAACAATATTAGTAATCAAAAACGGTTTTAACAATCCGGATAATTTTATTTTCACGTTTTACAAAAAAAAATCATTCGGGCATCAAACATTATTTTGAATTAATTTTGAACTGATAGCTTCAATAGATCTTTTATCACGGATTTTTCTATATTGTGACACTTTTTGAAACATTTGATATACTGTTTCATATTTTCTGTTTAAAGTCATTTTCAAACTAAAAAAAAACTCAAATTATGTGTATGGCAAGACATTTTGCCATTTATTCAATTAGCACTTTAATATATGTAAGTTATCTGCATTTTAATAAGATACCTTATAAAGAAACAATATCTTAAAAACTTTTAAACAGGACTATCTTCAGTTATATATTTCTCATATTAATTAGTTAAGTATTGGATCATAAATAGATTACAGCTTGTCTTACTATAGATGATATTTGCTATATCCAATATATATACATGTACATGTTTTTGTTGTATCCAACACATATACCTGTATATGTTGTTGTTGTTGTTGTTGTATCCAACATATATACCTGTAAATGTTGTTGTTGTTGTTGTATCCAACATATATACCTGTACATGTTGTTGTTGTTGTATCCAACATATATACCTGTACATGTTGTTGTTGTTGTATCCAACATATATACCCGTACATGTTGTTGTTGTTGTATCCAACATATATACCTGTACATGTTGTTGTTGTTGTTGTTGTATCCAACATATATACCTGTATATGTTGTTGTTGTTGTTGTATCCAACATATATACCTGTACATGTTGTTGTTGTATCCAACATATATACCTGTACATGTTGTTGTTGTATCCAACATATATACCAGTACATGTTGTTGTTGTATTCAACATATATACCAGTACATGTTGTTGTTGTATTCAACATATATACCTGTACATGTTGTTGTTGCTGTATCCAACATATATACCCGTACATGTTGTTGTATCCAACATATATACCAGTACATGTTGTTGTTGTTGTTGTATCCAACATATATACCAGTACATGTTGTTGTTGTTGTTGTTGTATCCAACATATATACCTGTACATGTTGTTGTTGCTGTATCCAACATATATACCTGTACATGTTGTTGTTGTTGTATCCAACATATATACCAGTACATGTTGTTGTTGTATTCAACATATATCCAACATATATACCTGTATCCAACATATATACTGTACTTGTTGTTGTTGTTGTTGTATCCAACATATATACCTGTACATGTTGTTGTTGTTGTATCAAACATATAAACCTGTACATGTTGTTGTTGTTGTTGTTGTATCCAACATATATACCATCCAACATGTCCAACATATATTGTACATGTTGTTGTTGCTGTATCCAACATATATATATATACATGTTGTTGTTGCTGTATCCAACATATATACCTGTACTTGTTGTTGTTGTTGTTGTATCCAACATATATACCTGTACATGTTGTTGTTGTTGTATCCAACATATATACCTGTACATGTTGTTGTTGTTGTTGCTGTATCCAACATATATACCTGTACTTGTTGTTGTTGTTGTTGTATCCAACATATATACCTGTACATGTTGTTGTTGTTGTATCCAACATATATACCTGTACATGTTGTTGTTGTTGTTGTTGTATCCAACATATATACCTGTACATGTTGTTGTTGTTGTTGTTGTATCCAACATATATACAAGTACATGTTGTTGTTGTATCCAACATATATATCTGTACATGTTGTTGTTGTTGTATCCAACATATATACCTGTACATGTTGTTGTTGTTGTATCCAACATATATACCTGTACATGTCCAACATATATGTACATGTTGTTGTTGTTGTTGTATCCAACATATATACCTGTACATGTTGTTGTTGTTGTTGTTGTATACATGTTGTTGTTGCTGTATCCAACATATATACCTGTACATGTTGTTGTTGTTGTATCCAACATATATATATACCTGTACATGTTGTTGTTGTTGTATCCAACATATATATATATACCATATATACCTGTACATGTTGTTGTTGTTGTTGTTGTATCCAACATATATACCTGTACTTGTTGTTGTTGTTGTTTGTATCCAACATATATACCTGTACATGTTGTTGTTGTTGTATCCAACATATATACCTGTTGTATCCAACATATATACCTGTACATGTTGTTGTTGTTGTATCCAACATATATTGTTGTTGTTGTTGTATCCAACATATATACCTGTACATGTTGTTGTTGTTGTATCCAACATATATACCTGTACATGTTGTTGTTGTTGTATCCAACATATATACCTGTACATGTTGTTGTTGTTGTATCCAACATATATACCTGTACATGTTGTTGTTGTTGTTGTATCCAACATATATACCTGTATGTTGTTGTTGTTGTTGTTGTATCCAACATATATACCTGTACATGTTGTTGTTGTTGTATCCAACATATATATCTGTACATGTTGTTGTTGTTGTATCCAACATATATACCTGTATGTTGTTGTTGTTGTATCCAACATATATTGTATATCCAACATATATACCTGTATACATATATACCTGTATATGTTGTTGTTGTTGTATCCAACATATATACCTGTAGTTGTTGTTGTTGTATCCAACATATATACCTGTACATGTTGTTGTTGTATTCAACATATATATCTGTACATGTTGTTGTTGTTGTATCCAACATATATACCTGTATATAATGTTGTTGTTGTTGTATCCAACATATATACCTGTACATGTTGTTGTTGTTGTATCCAACATATATACCTGTACAACATATATACCTGTACATGTTGTTGTTGTTGTATCCAACATATATACCTGTACATGTTGTTGTTGTATCCAACATATATACCTGTATATGTTGTTGTTGTTGTATACAACATATATACCTGTACATATTGTTGTTGTTGTTGTTGTATCCAACATATATACCCGTACATGTTGTTGTTGTATCCAACATATATACCTGTACATGTTGTTGTTGTATCCAACATATATACCTGTACATGTTGTTGCTATTAGAGTTTCCTCAATGCAATGAAAGACAGTGACTGAGAAATTGAACCAACATGAAACAGGTGATTGTTGTTATTGTTGTTTATGTTGTTTTTGTTGTTGCTGTTGCTGTTTACAGACCTTTTGTAAGGCAAGTTTCAAGTATTTTTTATTACTTAAAGTCTTTTTTTGTATACATCATATACATATATAGAACACTTATTACTTACACTGATTATCTTGTAACTAACTGTGATCTTTTCTTGTTTACATACGCTAGATATTTACCTAAGTTTCTTATTTCAGATATGCTCTTACTGTTGAGCAATTGTATTATTTAAACATAGTGGCATGTCCTATATAATATCTTTTGATAAACTTACGTCTAACTTCTTTGTAGCATGGACACTTAAGGATGAAATAGAATTCATCTTCCACATTATTCATATCACATAAAGTATATTATATTTCTTCTATAAATATTCTAATACTCTCACACTCTAATACCAAAATATCAGTTTTTAAAGTTTCTACACTTCATGATTATCTTTCATTGTGTTAACAAATGCATTTATATTTAAAGTGTTTACAAGGCATGCAGCAATAACATAAATCATTTAATCACTTGTTACTCACTCGAACGCGCCATTCATGTACACCTTTTTTTTAACTTCAAATAGAACGCACCTCTAATTTAATAGTTTCGTTTTAGATGTGAATATTATTTAATTTACTGATTTCTATATAAATCAATATATTATACATGTTTCCTGAATGTGGTACAATATTTATTATCAAATCCTTTTAAATTAATCCTTCATTGTTGTTCCAGGTCATGTGACATATTTTATTCCAAAATGGCGGATGGTTTATTGTGACGCCCGAGTAGGTCGCCTCGGGGTTGATTTGTATAATAGGTATAATAAGGATATGTAGTTCTTTTGAAAGTTTTAGTCGTCGCTGAACTGACGAGGAGTATGGAAAGAAAGAGATCAGACGACATTGTGTCACTTGATTCGTGGAATGAAGCCATCTCGACACCTGAGAGTGAATCACCGAAATCTCCAGCGGATGCGTTCATGTCAATCATGGAGGAAGCGAACGGTGGTAAAACTTACGGGAAAAAACGATCTGCTGCTAGGAGAAATCATCGCAGTAGATCTCACAGTGACCGCGACAGGAATCAGGTGAAACAAACAAACGCATTGATACTAAGTCCTTCAAAGTTTCTTGACCAAAACAATACAACTAGTTCGACAGAAACGTCAACAGGTGCTTTTGAGTCACGAGATCCTGACGTATTTCAGGACACATTAATAGAACGAGATACACTTAATGGTGCATCTGCTAAAACTAAGCGTGAAAATGAATTTGGGAAGAAAGTTTCCGAACAATCTCGTCTGAGTTCAGTGATATCTAATGAAGATAACCGACAAGCAAAGATAGTTCAGGGTTGGGTAGGAGAGGTAAAGGAAGATGGATCCCAAAATACTTGTCAAAGACATAGATATCAGAAACATAAACACCACCAACAATCGTATGATCGCTGTCAACAGCAACAGTCTGGCAGTGGTAAACCCAAAGTGATGTCACAGTCATGGCAGACACAACCTCATCAATATCATCCTCAGCACCATCCACGTCATTACCACCACTCACGACAAAACCAATGGATGGGCCATGAGCGACTCAACAATGTTTTGCAATATCCCTCAACAGCTACATATCCCCCATCTGCCAGAAATACATCCCATTCCTCTCAGAATGACGAAGATATTGACCAAAGCGAAAAAATGAAAAACAAAATATTGTCTGTTTGGAACAATGTCCGATATGGTATGCTTTATATTATATTGTGGCTCAAGAATTAGATTTTAAAACACATTTAGCATCCTGGTACATATCTATACTTGTTGATGGCAAAGAATCATTTCCAAATGAGTGGTTACAATACATACCTACCCACTGATATTAGAGGATAAGAATTTGTACTGATATGAAGTGGCTGATATTTTCATGAAATATATTATTGAGTAATGTATATTGCTTAAGTCATAAGTTGACAATATGTATTCCTTATCTTAGAAAAAAGGGAAAAAATCAAAACAATAGACAACTACTATACTGTATAGTAAAATGTTTTTAGATATGTCATTATTTACTGAATGCTATAATAATATGGTATTCATCATAAAACATGTCTGCACATGCTCAATTTTCATTTTTGTAGGTTGGACACTAAAGACTAAAACCAATTTTAAATGTGATAGTCCCATATTTCTTCTTGGCCAGTGCTACCATATCAGACCAAGTGGTAAGGATGAGAATATTAACAATTCACAGTTTAAATGTGTGCCAAACTACTTTCATTATAATCAAGATAATTAACTAAAATTTGAAAAGTTTTTCAATGTGCTTTTTAAGCATTGGATACTGTTATACAGTTCATAAAGATGTTTCCCAAAAATGTTTAAGGGAGCATAAAGTTGTCATTTTATATGTCCATCTATCTTTTTCGTCCATCCTTTTGCGTCCAGTGCAGAACTTTCTTCACGAATAAGCATTGGCCATGCTAAGATGATGTGCTGTGCATGCATGTGTCTTAATTACAAAGTTGTTGGCCTTTGTTGAAATTTTGTGTCACAAGCATAACTTCAAATTGCTTGCATTTAAACTAGGACATTGAAACTTTGTGTAAACATTGGTCATATTAAGAGAAAAGACCCCTAATCCTTTTAATTACTGAATTATTTTGCCCTTTGTTATTATTAATTTTTTTTCTTTTTTTGGTGTTCAGAGCATAACTTTGCATGCATTTAAACTAGAATAATGAGACTTGCTATTCATTTGTCATACTAAGACAATGTGCAGTATACCAAAGTGAGGGCCTGAAAACCCTTAATTACAGAATGATTGCTCTATGTTAAAATTTTGTGTCCAATGAAATTGTGTACATGGATCATTCATCATTTTTACTGATACTCTTGTCTATATATTTGATGCTTTGGAATTACTATCAGTTTTTTAATATAAGTTAAACAATTAATAGCAATGCCTAGGTAAGTGGATGTTGTAAAACCTTTGAAAGTAAAAGTGATCAAATTACATTCCTGTTTCTGTAATGAATTACAAATAACTGTTTCAGATGATAATCCACTTCCTGGTGAAAAAATATGCATGGTCCCAACTGTGGAAAAATTTAAACAGGACTTCTCTAGCCAGCTGTGGTTCACCTATCGTCAAGACTTCCCAGCCATTGCTGGCACAAAGCTCACCTCTGACTGTGGATGGGGCTGCATGCTGAGAAGTGGTCAGATGATGGTAGCAAGAGCTTTTGTCAACCACTTTCTTGGCAGAGGTAGGACACTTGTGATATTTCTAAGATTTAGCTGATACTTGAAAAATTCCTGTGGTTCAAGTGAGTAGTGCAATATTACTGTCAAAAAACAGATTTCATATGTTAAAAAGGAGACAGGGATTTGATAAGATTGTTGATTAGATGTATAGGTCATGGGATTCCTGAGGTTCACTTGACACAAATCACAGGTGTTTACATGTGTAGAAAATGAAATCTGGCAGTGATTTGTGTGATGCCGATGTTTGAGTTTTGGACATCTGCATTTATTGTGGACTCACATTGAAAAATCCTACAAAAATTACTGTACTGGAGGTTCTGGTTTCACAAAAATAAAATATGGGACACATAGGATTCATTATTTTATTACTTTCTTATGCTTTACCATTGTCTTCATCAGCTGTGAAAAATAAACATGTTTAATAAATATACAATTCAAGGCTTCAGATTATAATGGCACTGAACAAAATACACGGTCGCTTCTGTGGTAGAAGCTATTTTCTGATGTAAAGTAAGTCCAAATGTTTTGATATGACTCAACTATGGGCAAATTTAACTTAAAAGACTTTTAAATTAATTGAGCTCTTATTTACAGATTGGAATGTGTTTAGAGATCAGTCAGTTGGAGAAGAAACATTTAGAAAACAAATCATTCGATGGTTTGGAGATTTTCCTAGTGAACAATCCCCTTTCTCTATTCATCACTTGGTGGAAATTGGAAAGAAACTTGGAAAAGATCCAGGTGATTGGTATGGGCCTTCCTCTGTTGCACACATTTTGAGGTAATGATATTAAAAATATATCACTTCACAACATAAGCAGTCAGATATTACATCAATCAAACTCTAGTTTTAGTTCTCTTGAGGAAAAAAGGAGTGCTACCTGATGATGGTTTCTTGTTGTGCTGGGTAAACCCAGCACATGCATGATAAGATCTGATAGGAATTTTCATCCTAAGGTGATTTGTTGAAAGAAATTCTCTTTTAAACAGAGGTTTGCAAAGTTAGAAATAAATCACTTTAACAAGACTCATAATTTTCTTATGAAAAAGAATTACCAGTGGTAGATTTAAAATTTCTTTTATGGCACAACCTAGAATGTAAGTACCAAAATTCTGGAATCATGTTTTTTCTTTTGGCTTTCGCCATTGTCATTTCTTCATTGTCAGTAGTCTGAATCTACATGCCATGACTATTTGTCTTCATTCTGCAGCCAAACATGTTGTTACATACCATCCTAGTTTGTATCTTTCATTTTAACAGAGATGCGATGCTTAGAGGTTACTCAGCTCAGCCAGTCCTAGCCAATATCTGTTTATATGTGGCACAAGACAGCACAGGTAGGAAAAAAGAAACTTGTTAAATTGTTCTCTTCATTAATTGCTCTGTCAGGAATTCATCAATACAAAGTGCTACCACACCTTTAAGATTCTGTAGAAAATAAAATACATCTTTTCATCATAATTTTTTAGCATTGTTTAAAGTCAATTCTGTCAAAGGTTTTTCAGTATCATTGATGAAAGCAAAAAGCTGACGTTAGAACATCAGTGTCTTAGCTATGTATAAAAAAAGAAAATTTATTCCACATTTATCATGTTTAATAGCCATAAATTGAGAATTATACTGAATTTTCTCTGTTTTTATCCTCAGTGTATAAGCAGGATATTTATGACATGTGTTGTAAAAGATCAAGAAGTGTTACACATCTAACAAGCTCCACAGAATCAGAAACCGAAGGGGCAAAAAATAAGTCGCCCTCAGAAGAGGAGGATGAGTGGAAAAGAGCAGTGATAATTTTAGTGCCAATACGTCTGGGGAGCGAGGAAATGAATCCAGTATACGGACCATGCATCAAAAGCCTTCTCGCTCAGGACAACTGTATTGGTGTTATAGGTGGGAAACCTAAACACTCACTCTACTTCATAGGTTTCCAGGGTAAGTCATTTATTCATATAATTATTGTGTGGTCTATTTTCTTTGTCACATCTGTTTGAATGCTTCAAACCTTGCTTTAAATGCTTGAAGCTTTTGGATATCAATTTTGATTTGAAAATTGGAAATGAAAGCATTGGACCTGCATTCTGAATTAAAAATGTTATTCCTCTCATTCAGATGACAAACTGATCTACCTTGACCCTCATTACTGTCAGGATGCTGTAGACACGAGGGAGAGAAACTTTCCTGTACAGGTAGGACAATTTCTTCACTGATATTTCAAAAAATCCAGTTCAGAGCTTTGTAAGTAATTCTTGTAATTTTTTTTAAAGAGAAAGCAACCATATAGTGGTCAACGGTCTAGACAGCCCAGAATTATTCCATGAAAAATGAATGCACATGTACCCTATGTTGGATATGTTACACAAAAATCTCTAAACGCATAATTTTGGAATTTCCTGTCAATCATAGAGCAATGAACCAGTGATAAGATAAGATTCTAACATGTACTTAATAGTGTAACATTTCAGGAAATATATGCATGTAACAACCCTGCTGTTTGCAGAAATTCTGAAAACTGACAATATTAAGTCAGTTAGATTTTGACAGCTACAAGTGGCCTAGTCATTCTGCATGTGCAGGTTCAGTGGGTTTAACCATTTCAAATGCTTATGCATTCCCAACAGCTGGCAGTTCTCTACCAATAACTTATTTCAAAGTAATATCTTTGAGAAATGTATGAAAGTAAATGTGTAAAAAATTTAGTTCATGTTAAGGTGTTTGTTTATTTACAGTCTTATCATTGTTTATCACCGAGGAAAGTTGCTTTATCAAAGATGGATCCCAGCTGTACTGTAGGTTTCTACTGTAAAACCAAGAAGGAGTTTGAAACTTTTGTTTCACAGTCTGAAGCGGTAAGCAATGTACAGGCCACACCAGGCTTGACACAGATTAAGAAACATGCATAAGACTTTATTTTTTTTATTTTTTGATATTCTTGAAATTGAATACAAGATTAAAGATTTCCTAGTCAATTGATAAAAAATACTAAATAAGAATAGTGGACCAATATTAATCTTTGTATACTATAAATGTACCCTTTCTCCATTTCAATTCCACAGATGGTGTCACCACCCAAACAGAAACTGTCTTATCCGATGTTTGTGTTCAGTGATGGACGTGGCTCAGAGCTTACTCTTGACAGTCTGAACCTTGAGGAAGACAAACTGTTACGTATCCGACATGTCAAAACAGATCAATATGGTCGTGTACGGTCATCAACGGTTGATTCAGAGGAATTTGTGGTGTTGTAGTTTTGAGAAACCAATGAGATATGTAAATAAGAATAGATAATCTCCTTTTAATTTTCAATCCATGGAGATTTGGATGTTTTTGTGATATTAACTGCATTTCTTTAAAATATTGCAATTTATCAAATTCTGTGGATTTGCTAGCAAGCAAGGAAAAAAGAATCACATGTGACGTGTGTTCTTTAGTTTTCACCAGTGGTGAAATTTCTTAACTGTAGCAAGTTTAGCATTAAACCATAGTTACAAATGTTGATATTAACAACCAAACATTTCATATCATTTCATAATTTCTGAAATTAACACGCATTAATTTTATTGAGTTGAACAAATGTAACAAGATAAATTGCTAAATTGATTATATTTATTTATTTTTGATATGTATTGGAGATGCATATGCATGGTTTGATGGTAGAGAGTTTATACATTAGGTAACATATTGTACAAGGACATGTTGTCTGTGTAAGTTTAGGGAAGGTGATTAATAGATATTTGAGGGATTTAAAGTTTGATAATTTCAGAGATACCTCTACTGTATATCTGTATGATGAAATTCTTTCTTATAATAATTTTGTTGTAGTTTTCATTTTTGAGGGTTTAGAGAGGGGGATGAGTGGGTTGGTGTGGGGAGGGGCTGAGGATGAGGTAGAAGGATGGAGAATTGCGGCGAAGGGTATTGGGGAGGGGCATAAATGATTCCATTCATTCACATGACAGTGATTCTACCAGCATCAATATTCTGATTTCGGTTTCCATGGTTTTAGTCTCTGAGCTTAAAATATGTTGTGGAGCCATGAAATGGTATGATAGCAATATTCTGTGATTTTGTAGATATTATTTTTGTTTATTTAAAGCTTTGTTTTGAAATGCATTATTGGTTGATACAAACTATTACATTGTATCCAAGGGATACTGGTTACATAGCTACAGATTTTATGTAGCATATTATATACATACCTAAATGTATTGTTTTTGTAATTGTTTCTTATTTATGACAATTTTCTCAAATGTTAATTAAAAATTCAACTTGTTATTAAGCTAATAAAAAAATGTTTGATGTTACAGGTTTTTTCCCCGATTTTGTGCTTGTTTGACATAAATGCCAACTATTTTAGATGTAATGAAACACAGGGACTAAGCATGACTATATATACCTATATATAGACCATAAGTTGGGAATTGGTGCCAAGTCCCTGTGTGTAGAAGACAACCCGAACCCTTGGGTAATCAACCTATAAATGCACACCTTTTCAACAAAGAAGAATTTCTTTAAACATGTTTAAGTTTTTGGAGATAAGTTACAATGAGGATGCTATTTGACTTGTAAGAGCCTTTCCTCATACAAAACAATTAATAGTGACAAAGTTCAGATGGAGTTTTGTGTGAAACATCAGTATGTTCTACACCAACATCTGCCAATGATGTCAACTTATCTTATAGATATCTGTCTCAACTTTGTTACAATTATTTCAGCAAATCTTGACAAAGTGTAATGATTACCTTAAAGGGACATTACTTCATTGAAGAAATTTTAAGTTGAAAATGAAACTACATACACCTGTATTTTTCTAAAGTAGTGAAAGTTCTTAATTTTATTAGAATCACTGTTAAATCTGAAAGGTAACCTAAAGTCCTTAAATTACAAAAAATTTGAAGTGTAAACTTTCACTAGAAATACAAAGATTAATCCCACCAGCAAGTTTATACATTGTTTATGAGCATTCACATTCAAGTTGTTGTTATTTACAAACAAATCAAATGGCTGATGGTGACGGTTCACTGATTCGCTGGAAGAGCTCAACCGTAAGATCACTAAAATCTGAGTCAGATAAACAACAAAATGGACAGTGTTGTGAGAGACAGAAATGTTTATTTAACATTTGTGAAGCTGTTCACAGGTGGCAAATGGAGCCAACTCTTTTCAGATGAATGACAGAAATTGGCTGTGCTTCAATTAGACTGCCATACGTAATGTAGTTTTACTGGCTACTATTCAGGCATGGATACTAATTTACTATGGTAACCACTTTATGTAATGGCATAATGTACCGGTACATGTCTTTACTATAATCTATTCTGAAAATCTGACCATATTTTAACTTCTCTATACATGACACAAATGGCTGAAGGGTTGGAAATCCCCCATGTTGTGCTTTGTCTGTTATCACATGATATCTAATTGAAGCCGATGCAGGAGATATTGAATATTCAGGTAACAGCACATAAAGATAGTGTTTAGACACTATATAAACATGTTCTGTTCATTTTCATCCTTAGTTAATCACTGTCAAACACATGCACTGGACTGATGTTGTAACGAAGATATGTTCTGCTGAGGGAGAAATCAACTGAAATTAATGCACACCTTTGATCATTCCCTTGTACCCTTGATGACTTATGACTTGCTATCACTGAGTATAGTTTCTGTTCCCTACTTTGTATGGATAGTTGTGGCCAAATTTGGTCAAAATTCATTAAACCATTTAAAAAAAAACTGGAAATGTTGATTACTTATACAAAAAGCAATAGATCTTCCCAACACTTTCTGTTAGGTGATTAATATTGCCATTCATCAATGGGACAATATCTACCAATAGGAAGAGTCACAGAGACAAAAAACCTGCAACTAGAAACTCAGGTCATCTTGTGAAAATGGATCATGCCCTGACTTGTCAGTTGTACAATGCCTTAACCATGGACCTGTTTATGTTTTATTTTTAACATTGCAGGCATAGATTGTGACAAACCTGCACTAAGCTAGAAAAGATAAGTAGATCTGTTTTTATATCATAAACAAGCTGCCCTTGGTCAGCTGTTCTGAGGAATGAAAGTGGCTCTGACATAACGATTTATGATACAAGTTTTCGTCATCCAGCATTTTGATTCTTGTTTATAAAAAGCGATGAAGAGTAAGGGACTTCGATATACATTGTATGCATTCCAACATCCTGTGTGTAACTTAACTATTGTAAAACAAAATCTAAAAAATCTTAATCCAATAGGATTAAAAGGCTACATTGTCTAATTTAATGTAGTTTAATGTAGTTAATTGCCGACATAATTGGCTGACCATGTGTTCAGTATTCATAGAAATTGTCTCATCACTACATCCAAGTATTCTGACAGAATGTGTTATTCTAATTAAATGATAAATTAAAACGTCCGTAATACATTAATGTTATATGACATCCAGACTTAATGAAAACCTCTAGTACATTCTTGTATTTTAGAATCCTTTCAAAAAGTGAAATAATGATAAAATCTGAGTTCTGATGATAATCTGATATTGTCTAATATAATATAAGATATAAGATATTGTCTAATATGTCAAAAAGGATATACCAGTTAAGAAAGATGTTTTCAAGATCTCTTCATTGTAATAATTACAACATGTTCGAAAATTACAACAAAATGATTTTTCAGTATTTGGCTGGTCTACTAAATGAAAACCCTTGATAAAAAATAAACAACAATTGTCTAATATTAATTTTCTTTAATATGCAATGTCTTTCTTTAAAAAATCACTGAAAACATATACAGCACTTTCTCCCAAATAACAATACAAATTCCTCCTTAGGATTTGTAATACTTTACATGTTCCTCTCCTTGAGGTTTTAACACAGTCTCATCATGAAGATTCACTATCCATCCTGGTTCAAGCCCATAAAATATCTGACGTGGATCTTTCCTTGTAGACAACATTTCAAATTTCTCATCATTTTTTATATCAGGCAATTCGTATCCATACTTCTGAGAAAGTTCCATCCGAGCCTTTTTAATATTTTCAGGGTTTGCTAAATATCCCCGATTTTTTGCATCAGTGTAATATTTGAAAACGTCAGTTGGTGGAACCTTACATCTGGGAATGGGTATTCCTTTCATAAAGAAATTCTTTGGGGATACTGCAGCCATTAGAGATGGTATGTCAAAAAAGCGAGTTGTGATTGTTCCTCCATTTCTCTCGATGGCTGCAATGGTAAGCTCATCGGCCCACTGCACTTCAATATTGATCTGTGCTGCAAACATGTCAGCTCCCTGTTGTTATAAAAATACAAGATCAATTGACTGTTCAGCAATGTTAAAAAAAATAATTCTGTAGAAATAAACTTGTCTTTGAATGAAAATGCCCAAGCCTAATATTTTTCATTCTTATTTTTGTTTACTGTAAATATGTTAACCAACTTCTGTCAAAGTTCTCTAATAGTTCAAACAGCTCTTTTACAACTACTGAAAGTCAAGTATGTTTGGTCTTAAAGAGAAAATGGGAAATGGGATAATTTCTGTGATTTTTCAACTTGTTCTGACCTCTTCTGTTAGATGGACACCATACTGCTTCTGAATTGGTTCGACCCTGAAAAGTCCAGTGTTACAAAGTGATGACAGGTCTATTGGCTCATTGCTGTCCACACGGTTTAGGTCAATCATTCGCTGAAGCTGTAGCAGGGTTAATGGAACATACTCCTTTCGTACACTGCAACACAAAACACTCATTGTAGCTTCAACAAAGCAGCACTTCATTCATGTTTGTGTTGACCAGCTAAGTAGCTTTTTCTACCAAGGCTTAGTTTTACTAAAACCAGTGCCCACATGAATAATAGTGAAATATTGTCATTTGTTATGAAAGATGCCCTGAAATTTTTGTTCTATTTTGGGGAATAGAGTTAGTGTTGCATGCAACACATGTCCCCTGCTGTAAATTACTGTATTTATCAGCAAATAAGCCCCATGTCTGCTAATAAGCCCACCAATGTTCTGTGGTAAAGCAAATGGGAGCAAATGCTACTTAACTGTTTGCAATAAGCTAACCCTTTAGTATAGATCTGAGTTTATATGTTGGCCCCATGATCTAATTGCAGTATAAATACATTATTTTTTCAAGTAATGTAGAACTTGTTCTGTATCAGAAGTGTCTTGTTTTATTATTTATAAGCTTCCAGTGTATCAAGTTTCAACCAAATCCATCAATCCGTTCTCAAATTATTGTCTGAAATCTAAATTATGACAAGATTCTATTTTTAGTAACAGTGACCTTTGTAGTTGATCTTTTGACCCCAAACAAAATCCCACACTATATTGCCTTATAAACTACCATTGTATGAAGTTTCATCCAAATCCATTAATCCATTCTCAAGTTATTGTCCGGAAACTAAAATGTGACAACAATTTCTATCTTTAGTAACAGTGACCTTTGCAGTTGATCTTTTGACTCCAAACAAAATCTCACACTATATTGCTTTATAAACTACCATTGTATGAAGTTTGATCCAAATCCATCAATCTGTTCTCAAGTTATTGTCTGGAAACCAACATCCGGACAGACAGATGGAGACAAACACTATAGTACCCTCCGGTTTCACTGGCAGGGGACTAATAAAGAAATGAACAAAAAATAAAAACACGTGAAAGTAAGATATTGTAGCAGCTAGCTATGCACAACTTACTGATGCCTGTGGTAATATGGCTCCTTTGGGATGAGTAAATGAAAGGGCGTGTTGTTGCCCTCAAATCCTATCCTAGGTAAAGTGTCTCTGGCTCCTTGACCCTTCATACCTCGCCCATGAGTGTTACCTCTTTTAGCATCACGTCTGCGGTTCACCTGATAAAAGTGATGAGCATAGAATGGGTAAATAATTTTCGTACAGCATGTAAATGTGCACATTTGTTCCTCCAACTAGCTGTGGATTGTGATTTTTCATTTATTTGTCAAGTAATGTGAGATTTGTCATGCTTTTGCTGGTCTAAATACAGCACTTCCGATTAACTTTGTTTTGCAAGCAAAACATAATCTGTAAGGCTCTTGTCAAAGAAAATGGACACCAGGTAATCCAAGGGACCAATTAGATTATGCATTTCCAAATATTAAGAGAAAATATTGTTGAATGAGATTATAATTTAAACATTGAATACAGCTTATAGTTGTGATTCCCCCATGACCTGTTATCTGCTAGTTTACATTTATTTACTTAGGAAGCAGTCATTATTAAGGAATATGGGTCAATAAGCCTATATTAAGCCTTTTTCACCTAAGTTTTCAATGGCAAAAATACCATAAAATTACCTAAAATAAGATTAATATATATATTTCAAATTAATTTAAATTTTCTATTTTTGAAGTGAAAGTACAAGGGAAGTGTTCACATTTTTCAATTCAGTAGAATATATTGGCTTTTCAACATTATTTATAGTGTTTTGGGCTTTATCTATGTTAAGATTTTTTTATACCTGGAAAGGCTCCACAGGGTCGCCTAGCAAAGCAAGCCCTAAGCATAAAGTGTGAGGAAAAATGAATGAAATATTTCACACATACTATCAGTCATAAAGTTGTGAAATGGAAGTGGAAGTCTCAGTAATGCTTTGTGCCAACACAGCTACAAGTAGTTACCTTCACCCAAACGCTTCATGTGTGCAGATAACAAGGGTCTACTTGAACAAGATTAAGCAATTAGTATTATCTTTCCCAGCAAACCTGTTGAGATTGTCCGAAATAATAAACTAAGTAAAACGAAAAACCATTAACTAGTTAGGAACACAATAAATGCAATATTCAGGGAAGAAAGAGTTCCTTACACATAAGGTTAAATAATTATCATTGCCGAATATTTTGTCATGTTTGTTTCCCACAATGAAATATATCAGTGCTAACACTCCACTTGCTCCATATGAATTTATCATCATTCATATTATAGAAGATATTTCAAAATTGTTCTTAATAACAACAGTAAGGAAGCTAGATGAGTATACAAAATTATGTTCCCGCTCGTCTTCAAACCAAGAAGTAAACACCACTGAATAACAACGTCAATATGCGTGCCCATACCTGGAAATGGTGTACAACGACAAAATTCATTCGTTTTTCCAACTTACTAAATTCGTTGTTCATATTTGCGATCTGCACACCAGTATCGCGACCAGGTACGGTTCATTTGTTTACATTTGCCCTATATACATAGAGCCAGATTGGCCGGTGCTCCAGTACTTACCTATGGAATATATCTTGTTTGAAGTCCCCCCCCCCCTCCACCCACACAAGAAAACACAATTTTGTGTTATGTGGGATTGCTAGGATCTCATTAGAAATAATTCTGAACAGCTGTGCAGTATACCTTATGAGGTTTAGATCCAGGCATATCTTTAAGATTCCCTAGAGATACTCTGGGGAATTTCCTTAAGAGAGTCAAAGCCTTGTCTACGACCTTGCCGGACATGTTGGATGATGGACCAACTCAAGGAAACGCTTAGATTTTGCGTTAGGTTAAATCGCTTCGCCGACTAAGCTTATTGGCAAAGCGTTTTGGAACTCTCTAATGTTTACATGTGATACCATGCCTGAGCATGAAAAGACAAACTAGTTAACACTAACAAAATTACTGGGGAGTGGAGATCAGATAATTTGTTAAGATGGTATTCAGTAAGTATTGTTTATATTATATTATATTTAAAGGCAATGTCCATTTGATCCCTCTTACCTATCTGTAATCGTCGTTTTTCTAGAAGATTCGATTATCAACACTGCTTTTGTTTGTTTTAATGCACCGTCTTCTCATTGTCTAAGCTTTCATGCATCTGATAGAAAATTAAATATATATGAATACAACAGAATGTCTCAGACTTTCATGACAATGATGAATCAATCAACAAGGCAAAGTTCTTGCCAATAGAGGAGACAAGACTGAGCAAAATACAAAAAGGCTGCATCAGTTGAAAATCTAGTTCTCATGAAAGTTAGTGATCCTTGAGGCCAGAGAACGTATTCTCTATATCAAGAGCAGTTAATTCTTACTTCAACGTTCATGATGAACTGGCAGTGAAAATCAGTGAAATATTTTGTGGAGAACGTGCAGTGGTACCATTATCATTCCGACCCACATTGGAAAGTTTGTATTCACTCATCACACCTAGAGGTAGAATGTTGTTTGTGACGAGCCTGTGAGGCTGTGCATTTGCCGAACATGAACTCTGAAATATAGGAAAACATTGAACAGTGTGACACATATTGAAAATACAAAAGGTCTCAGCCAAAGGAAACCCTCATATCGCATGATGTTCCAGACCGGCCTCGGGCCAATCTTGGATGCAACCTATTCTTGTTTGACATCTTGAATATCTGATCATGGTGGACTACTACTCAAACTGCTCTGAAGTAGACTACCTTTGAGACATAAAATCAGTGACTGTTGTGCTTTCACTTAGTGCCAGACACGGAATTCCAGTCAATGTTGTTAGTGACAACAGACCACAATTTCATGCAGAAGAGTTTCGAAAATTCTCACATGAATCAGGGTTTCGGAAACATGACCTCATCTCAGTTAAAACATTAATGCTTCTGGTTGATGATCACATTTGTTTATGATCTTATTGGACCAAATTTTCTACAGATTTGTTATCAATCTGAGGATTGAAACACTATGCTATTTTTCAAACAGAATGAACAAAACAAGGGTAAAATAAACAAATGAATATTTAAAGGGAGAGCCTGGAGTAAGTGGAAGGAAATTAAAATGAATAATCTGGCATCGTAGAAGCATTTATTCCACACAGAGATTGAATACAAAAGTGTGAAAAACATTAAATATGGTTGTAATTTTGATTTGTTCTTTTCTTTTTAGTAACTGAAAACCTCATTAGGAAGCGAGCAGAGCACAACAACCTAGAGATTTCAACATTGGAAGAAGTGTCTCTCCATCAACAGGACATTGAAAAGTAGTTATTGCATTATTACATTTAAATCATAATGACACTGTATTTCTGTGAGGAATTTCATTCAGTTCTCTCTATGGTCTTTCCCTGTTTATTCTGAAATATGGTATATCTCTACTCATACACAGTGAAAGTATCCTCATTTGCTATGTAAAATGAAGTCTGATTCATTTTAGTCCAGAGAAACAGTATCAACCAGTGAAGCATGATATATCCTAGACATATGTAAAATACAAGGATTTTTATTTGAAAATTTCTTAAAATTACTCTCAAAATCCTCTGTAACTCAGTGTTTAGCAAACTTATATGTTGATTTCCTGAAACTAATTCTGTCACTAATCAAATTTCTTTCCTGGTTAGATATTGATATCTAAGTTTACAGGGTCGTCCTTGATTCTCAAAAACTTGCATTTTGACTTGTTAACTTGACAAAGGACCCTAAAAACTAATACAGTTTTACTCTGCACCATAATTGTTTTGAGTACATGGACTCATCCATTCATAAAATTTGAGGGTTCTGGTCAAAACCCTGAGTCTGTGCTCAACATAAATAAATTTTACTTACAGGATTGAGTATATTGACAAATGGTGTAAGGAGCTGAAGATTCTTTACTTACAGAGTAACCTTATCCCCAAAATAGGTGAGTTTTTACTTTTTATTGAAAATCCTAATTGTGGTACCATATTTATCTGTCAATAAGCCCCTGTCTGGTAATAAAACCATCCATATATATACATCATGTATACATGTTTTACACTGTCCACCAGAATTTTAACACAAACATTTTATTGCCCTGTAATAAGCCCATTGAATGATTTCCTGAACTTTAGTAAGAATTGTAGATGGATAGCAAGATAAGTATAGTAGATAGTAGTTATTTCAATTTGCAGAGCTGTTATATTTTTTAATTTTTTAATTTTGAACATAGTTTACCTGGTTTTGGATTCTGTACAATAACACTTAACTGTTTTAGCAGAGATTATGTTCTACAATTTTTATATGTTAGGAGAAAATCAATTTCAAATTAAACATGTCATCTTTACACAATGATTAAATCTTTTAATTTGGATTATAGTGCTATTCATAATTTATCGCTAAGTGTGATATAGGTTCATCATGTAAGAGAAGATTTTTAGCCCACTATCTTTAGATGATGGGTTATTCAAATCACCCGATATCCATCTGTAGGTTACCCTTGGTCTGTGATTGTTCACAGGTGGCCATCTCGAGTTTTCATAATGAAAGTTTGTTATCACTATTTCTTGAAAAGTACCAGATGGACCCTTCTCAAATTTCATATATAGGTTTCTCTTTGTCCTTAGTTGTCCCTGTTTGATTTTAGGACTGATTAGAAAATCAAAATGGCTGACAGGCAACCATTTTGAATTTGGCAGTTAAAGATTGCCAAGTGTTAGACTGTCAGGAATCTCCTCCAAGGAAAAGAGGTTTCTCTGTCCATCCCTTAAACTATCCGTTATCCAACATACTAGAAATAGAATACTGAGACAAATATATGCTGACAAACATGGAAACAAAATCACACAAATAACAACTTTCGTTTTTATTTTGACCGATTTTTAATCTACATTATACACTGTACAGAGAAAATCATAATGATAAATCATTGCCATAATGTATTTAAAATTGATCTGTGTAAACAAAAATGACCAGATACTGTCTTACAATAATATTAAACTTATCTTAAACTGTCAGTAGCAATCAGTCACATCTTTAACATCTTGAATTAAAAACTTCTGGTTTAGTACCTGTTTATGTTCTGTGCCTGAAGGCAGTCTTACCACAGCAAGATATAGATATCTTACCCTCACCAGAAATGTGGATATTTCACATTTTGTTAAAATAAGAGCAGAAACAGAGGAAAGAAGAGAAAAGAGAAAAATATCCACTTTGAAAGAACAAATAAAGATCAACCAAATGGTGGGTGCCAAGATCAATCAGAGATCCCTTGTTTTTTCTCTTTTTCAGAAAATGTTTCAAAGTTAAAGAAATTAGAATATCTTAATCTTGCTCTCAACAATGTAGAGAGGGTAGAGAATTTAGAAGGTAAGTTGATAATCATGATGTATTTGTTTAAGGGTATTTGGCTGCTGAGTATTTGTTTGGGAGTATGAGGCTGATGAGTATTTGTTTGGGAGTATGAGGCTGATGAGTATTTGTTTGGGAGTATTAGGCTGATGAGTATTTGTTTGGGAGTATCAGACTGATGAGTATTTGTTTGGGAGTATTAGACTGATGAGTATTTGTTTGGGAGTATCAGACTGATGAGTATTTGTTTGGGAGTATTAGGCTGATGAGTATTTGTTTGGGAGTATCAGACTGATGAGTATTTGTTTGGGAGTATTAGACTGATGAGTATTTGTTTGGGAGTATTAGGCTGATGAGTATTTGTTTGGGAGTATTAGACTGATGAGTATTTGTTTGGGAGTATTAGGCTGATGAGTATTTGTTTGGGAGTATGAGGCTGATGAGTATTTGTTTGGGAGTATTAGACTGATGAGTATTTGTTTGGGAGTATTAGGCTGATGAGTATTTGTTTGGGAGTATGAGGCTGATGAGTATTTGTTTGGGAGTATCAGACTGATGAGTATTTGTTTGGGAGTATTAGGCTGATGAGTATTTGTTTGGGAGTATGCTGGAGTATTTGTTTGGGAGTTTGGGATAGACTGATGAGTATTTGTTTGGGAGTATTAGACTGATGAGTATTTGTTTGGGAGTATTAGGCTGATGAGTATTTGTTTGGGAGTATTAGACTGATGAGTATTTGTTTGGGAGTATCAGACTGATGAGTATTTGTTTGGGAGTATCAGACTGATGAGTATTTGTTTGGGAGTATCAGACTGATGAGTATTTGTTTGGGAGTATTAGGCTGATGAGTATTTGTTTGGGAGTATTAGGCTGATGAGTATTTGTTTGGGAGTATCAGACTGATGAGTATTTGTTTGGGAGTATCAGACTGATGAGTATTTGTTTGGGAGTATCAGACTGATGAGTATTTGTTTGGGAGTATGAGGCTGATGAGTATTTGTTTGGGAGTATCAGACTGATGAGTATTTGTTTGGGAGTATCAGACTGATGAGTATTTGGGAGTATTAGGCTGATGAGTATTTGTTTGGGAGTATGAGACTGATGAGTATTTGTTTGGGAGTATCAGACTGATGAGTATTTGTTTGGGAGTATCAGACTGATGAGTATTTGGGAGTATCAGACTGATGAGTATTTGTTTGGGAGTATCAGACTGATGAGTATTTGTTTGGGAGTATCAGACTGATGAGTATTTGTTTGGGAGTATCAGACTGATGAGTATTGATGTTTGGGAGTATTAGACTGATGAGTATTTTTGGGAGTATTGTTTGGGAGTATCAGACTGATGAGTATTTGTTTGGGAGTATGGGAGTAGAGTATCAGACTGATGAGTATTTGGGAGTATCAGACTGAGTATTTGTTTGGGAGTATGAGACTGATGAGTATTTGGGAGTATTTGGGTTTGGGAGTATTAGACTGATGAGTATTTGTTTGGGAGTATATTAGACTGATGAGTATTTGTATTAGGCTGATGAGTATCAGACTGATGAGTATTTGGGAGTATTAGACTGATGAGTATTTGTTTGGGAGTATCAGACTGATGAGTATTTGTTTGGGAGTATTAGGCTGATGAGTATTTGTTTGGGAGTATTAGGGTGATGAGTATTTGTTTGGGAGTATCAGACTGATGAGTATTTGTTTGGGAGTATCAGACTGATGAGTATTTGTTTGGGAGTATGAGGCTGATGAGTATTTGTTTGGGAGTATCAGACTGATGAGTATTTGTTTGGGAGTATGAGGCTGATGAGTATTTGTTTGGGAGTATTAGACTGATGAGTATTTGTTTGGGAGTATCAGACTGATGAGTATTTGTTTGGGAGTATCAGACTGATGAGTATTTGTTTGGGAGTATCAGACTGATGAGTATTTGTTTGGGAGTATCAGACTGATGAGTATTTGTTTGGGAGTATCAGACTGATGAGTATTTGTTTGGGAGTATGAGGCTGATGAGTATTTGTTTGGGAGTATCAGACTGATGAGTATTTGTTTGGGAGTATTAGACTGATGAGTATTTGTTTGGGAGTATCAGACTGATGAGTATTTGGGAGTATTAGACTGATGAGTATTTGTTTGGGAGTATCAGACTGATGAGTATTTGTTTGGGAGTATCAGACTGATGAGTATTTGTTTGGGAGTATTAGACTGATGAGTATTTGGGAGTATTAGGGAGTATTTGTTTGGGAGTATGAGGCTCAGACTGATGAGTATTTGTTTGGGAGTATTAGGGTGATGAGTATTTGTTTGGGAGTATCAGACTGATGAGTATTTGGGAGTATCAGACTGATGAGTATTTGTTTGGGAGTATCAGACTGATGAGTATTTGTTTGGGAGTATTAGACTGATGAGTATTTGTTTGGGAGTATGAGGCTGATGAGTATTTGTTTGGGAGTATCAGACTGATGAGTATTTGTTTGGGAGTATGAGGCTGATGAGTATTTGTTTGGGAGTATCAGACTGATGAGTATTTGTTTGGGAGTATCAGACTGATGAGTATTTGTTTGGGAGTATTAGACTGATGAGTATTTGGGAGTATTAGACTGATGAGTATTTGTTTGGGAGTATCAGACTGATGAGTATTTGTTTGGGAGTATTAGACTGATGAGTATTTGTTTGGGAGTATCAGACTGATGAGTATTTGTTTGGGAGTATCAGACTGATGAGTATTTGTTTGGGAGTATCAGACTGATGAGTATTTGTTTGGGAGTATTAGGCTGATGAGTATTTGTTTGGGAGTATGAGGCTGATGAGTATTTGTTTGGGAGTATTAGGCTGATGAGTATTTGTTTGGGAGTATGAGGCTGATGAGTATTTGTTTGGGAGTATCAGACTGATGAGTATTTGTTTGGGAGTATTAGACTGATGAGTATTTGTTTGGGAGTATTAGACTGATGAGTATTTGTTTGGGAGTATGAGGCTGATGAGTATTTGTTTGGGAGTATTAGGCTGAATAATTGTTTATGTAGTATCCTGTCTTAACAACAGAAGAGACATAACGGGTAATATTTGATGACTAAGGAATCACAAAAAAGTAACTTACAGTGTAGTTTATAAACATATCATTTCTTTTGCCATCAGGAAGTTTCCTTTTTAAAAGAATTAATCTGTCCAATTGTTTCTCCAGAAAAAAAGAGTTGACTTTATAACTGTCCAATTTTCATTCCAGGGTGTGAATCACTTCAGAAATTAGATTTGACTGTTAATTTTGTTGGAGAAGTTACCAGCATCGAATGTCTGAAAGACCTTGTTCATTTTAATGAATTGTAAGTAACATTACTTCTGCACTGTAAATCAAATAAAACTTCAACTTTTCACCTCAGCAAATATTGGATCTGTGTGTCTTAATCAACGAATAGAAATGACTTTCATTGGGCGTTAATTTTCATTAATTTTGTGAATACTTTTGTTACATAAATTCATGTCTACCAACACTTGAAATTAGTAAAAGTAGATTGGTTGAGCTTTAATTATTCAAGAAATTAAGTGTCCACAAAATTGGTTTTTTGAAAAAGCATGAAAATTGTCTTCCATGAAAATATGTGATTTTACTATATGTCAGTCATCTGTCTTTTGTGTTGGTATAGGTACCTGACAGGCAACCCATGTGCTCAGTTTGAGGGCTATCGACAGTATGTCATTGCAACTCTCCCGAGATTGAAGGTAAAAAACACTTCTGATTGTTTGAAATGTAACATATAGATGTAGGTAATCTTTTTATTTATCTGTTTTATATTACCTTTCTCAGTATCATGGTATGGGGTTCATCATTTATCTATAAACATGCATTTGTTGCTTTTAGAAATTAAGACAATTTTCTATGAGACCTCATATAGATTTACATAAAATAACTAGTACATATTTTTGAGGGTTTGATTTTGGACATTGGCCATGGAAGTCATGGTCACTGTTGTAATCAATGAAAATAGAATTTACACTATATTATTGCTGTATAAACTACATATCAAACAGATTTCCATGTAATTTTGAAATGTTGTTCAGAATTAAACAAGAAGCCACACGTAGTGGTCAGCAAGTAATAGTATTTTATCTTACCTTGACCTTGGCTTTGACAGCAAAATCATGGCAACAGAGGTCAGATTTTGTCTCTCTCAAGAGTGGTACATATTTTCTTGCATTTTTATTCATAATGGAACAAGAATCTATACTGTTGACCAAAGATTAAAATCACTATGTCAAAGGTCAAGGTCATAAGTCACATTTTGTAATTTATATTCTGATTGTTGATGCAGCTGAAAATTTTTAACAGTTCAAATGACAATAAGATCTGCTATATACGTTTATCACAGTTCCAAGAAGTTGTTAGCTGATCAAATATAACTGATAACCAAGCATGTTTAATGATTTACCCAGTAAACATATTACTCATCACATCGTATATTTTTTTTTATAATATTTTCAGTCAAATCATAACAGAAAATTTGAAATTGCACTTATTACTTTTCAAAGTTGTTCCAATATACAAACGCTTTTGACATTCAACACAGCTGTTCCATTATACCTGATACTATTATTTGAGATTTTAAGGTAATATTTTAGTGGAATACCACATTATAATTCTAACATGACATTTATAATGTTTTCCTTCCAGAGGTTAGATGGAATTGAAGTAGAAAAATCAGAAAGAATCCTTGCCAGTCAGGTGAGAGGATTTTTTTTCATATAGAATTTTATCTTGCAACATGGTCGGGAGTAATAATGCCTGGTTTTGATTGATTTTGATTTTGTGTCACATTACATCTGATGCAGCCATTAAATTTAATCATATGTAGACGAGACTTTAGAAATCATGTAAACATTTAAACATGTAATGACTTTGGGACTAGTGCACCTCCCTGTCTAGACTTTTCTGTTGATAACTTTAGATTTTCCTCAGTCACCTTAGGCTTCAAAATTTAGGCCCGTAGCATCACTGACAAGTCCAAGAAGGACAAGACAGCTGTATGATGCAGCATCACTGACAAGTCCAAGAAGGAGGAAACAGCTGTATGATGCAGTTTAATTCATTGTTTAGCTCTAATTCTAAATTTGTATTAAAAGGTTCTATTCATTTCCATGTTTTTTGTACAATCTCAAAATGTTCCTCGTCAATCAGAAGCAATGATGTACCATAATTATTCCACAATAAGCCCAGGGAGTCGACATTTCCCTTCAGACACAAGATTAGGGTACCGGCTTATCACAGGACATTGAAATAACATTGGTTTGTAATTTTACGTTATTAATACTCCTACATTGTGGAGGTTGACACAGCAAGACATTTATGACAGTTTTATGTTGATGAAAAACTTGGCTGACCAGCAGTATCTTATGTTTTAGGAGTAATATAATACTTCAGTGCTTGTTTAATAGTCTATTATTTTTATCCATAAATGTTTATGGAATTGTGATTGAATTATGTTAATGTAGCCTTATTTGGTTCTAATGTAATAAAAAAGATATAAAATACACAAGAAAACATATTTCATCAAGCGGGTTTTTCTTTTTCAGGAGTATGGTGAAGTTAGAGCTGAAATTATACGTCAACAAAAACAGTACAAGAAAAAAAGAGTGAGTTTGGATAGAGCACGGGAAATGTTTAATGTTAAAAAAAAAGTAGCAACCAAATAGAACACAAAAAGGCAAACAATAGTAGGAGCATAGAACAATACCATTAATAAATTATTTTTCTAATTCTTGTAAGATATATGTGATCTAAAGACCAGTCTTGATATTGAACACTTATAAAAACTAAGCAAGATTCATTATAAGGAATTTTATATCGCCCTTTCTTTATCTTTTGTTGATAAGAATTGAGCCATGGTAGATAGAATTAATTTTAAGTTATTTTGCATCCTAGGAAAAAGAGAAAAGAGAAGCCAAATTGAAGGACGAACAAGAGAAAAACGAAAAAGAACAGCAGGAAGAAAAAAAGGAGGAGAAGCCAGGATTTGATGGGCGTTGGTATACTGATATAAATGAAAGGTAATTAGACCTAGAATTATTGCCAGAATTAAAACTATGATGGATCAATGTCTTGTCCTGGTATATACCGTAAAATCCCACTTCCTTGAATTTGCATTACTAGTACATATCATGTTTATGAACATGGACAGAACTCACCAAACATGAGGTCTTTATGAGGATCGGGATAGATAGTATACTGAGCAAGTTTTATTAAAATCAGATAAATGTTCAATGCCACATTTCCCTCCCTGTTACTGAAATGATTGATGACATCATTTCAAACAGGTAGAAAAACAATGTATAACATTAGTACATTTTGAATGTTTTTACTGCTCTGGAAATTCTAGTTGTATTATTCTGAATATCACTACATATAATGTACTAATATAAACATTTATAACATAAATTGGTATTTTTCTTATTTTCAGTGACAAAAAATTAAGTCAAGAAGAGAAAAAAGAAGCTGGAGAAAAAAAGAAAAAAGAATTTCTTGAGAAGGAAAAAGATGAAGATCAGAAAGAAAAGGAGTGAGTTTAGATTGAATTAGGTCATAACAAATCAAGCTATCAGAAAATGAATTTATTTATTTATGTTGATTTAATGTTGTTAGTCTAAACATTATTTTATCAGAGACTCTTTATTATACCACATGACCCTTTACTGTACACTTAACGCATTATTTCATCAATAGACTTGTTATTGTTAATGTCCCATGTACAAACTAACCAGTAATGAATATTTGTATATCGTGGATACTTACAATACTTAAATCATTTACTCAGTAATCAAATAGCGTCTTGCAACATACATAAAGCATAAATGTAAATCCATTTTATGTGATTGGTAGTATATTCTGGGTATACTGGTTTTTATCAAACTTAACTCTCCATCAGTACTTTAACAGTATGAAATATACATGAAATGGTTATTGAACCTTGTACAATGTCCATGTGTGGCCAGATCGTTTAATATACTCAAGTTATACTCAGATCAGTTGTTGCAGTGTGGCTACAGTCGTTAACATAAAAGTCAGTATTATTATATAAATACTTTTCTAATTACCCCACAACCCCACCTACAACTCACCAACATTTCCAACTTCAATACTACCTCGTACAAACCCCAGGTAAAAACCCACCTGCAAACTCCAACCTACAAACTCCTACCTATAAACTCACATATGTCCCACCTACATTTCAACCTAAAATCCTCATCTCCCTCCAACCTACAAACCCATCCATGTCTCCAAAAAACTTCCAATCCCCACCCACAGCCCCTACCTACACCATACTACCTACAAACCCACTTATATTTCCATCAACAACCCTACCTGAAAGCCCATCTGCAAGCTCATCCTATTCCCCATGTACTAAACATTATTTGCATCAAAAAATACAATAAGTTGTGTCCTAATACCATGTATATCAATGGTGACCTTTGCACCTTAGATACTGGGAGACACCATCTGCTTATACCCCAGAGTCGAGATTGGAGGTACACAACCATTTGAAAGAACAACGAGAACGCAAGGACGGACCAAAGTGAGTCACACCTTCTTATTTCATGGCAAACTTTCCTTGTCTGGAACTTTGAAAGGTTGTTAGATTATAACATTTATTTTTTAGGTTACTTAATGCTTATTTCATCAAATATTGCCAATATGGTATCATATTCTCCTATGAGAACATTTTGATTTTTTGCTGAACAAATAATGAACAGCTAAGAAAATTGAAATCTAAATCATCCATTATATATTTTGGTGTTATATATGTACATTTTATGTGACAATCTTCATTCTTTCAGAGAAAAACCCAAGCCTCCACGACGTCTGTTTATGGACGATGGGCGTCCTCTGAATGTTAATGAGGCAAAGTAAGTCAAAGTTTGTTTTGCGCGTGTAGAATGGCTTACGGATGTTTTCTACTTCTCTATAATTTTGAATCTCCATTCCTAAAGAGTTCCACTCTATGAATGTATAAAATGTATTTAATGGATGGTAATTGTGGTATTATAAATAATTATTGGAATGTACTTTGTGCTGTGTTTTCAATATTACCTATTACACTTGTAAAATTTGTTTAGTGGAGATAAATTACAGGAAATGACAAGCTTTTCAAACTTTCATTGAAATTTTACATAATGGCAAGATGATATCTTAGGAAATTATTCAATTTTTTTACTTACCAAAAAAAAAACAAGATAACAGGAAGTACGTTTGGAAATGTTGCTTTGCTTTTCTTACAGAGTTGAATTCAGTCTCATTGATGATGAGGAAAACAACTGTTATGTTCTGGATATAGCTGTGTTTAAGTAAGTTCTCTTCTTATTTGTTCATTTTTACATCAGAAATTGGATCCCTCCACTGACCACTAGTTACAAGCATGTTTTAATCTTGTGACCTTGACTAAGCTTGCAATGGTCATTTTTCCTGGCATGCAGATAAAAAGTCTGATCACTCTAAAACAAGGGAGATTTCCAGAAATACAGGATTTCTGCCAAGAGTTGCAGACAACAGTCTTATTTATGTAATTACTTTCAAAGAGAGAAAGACTGCTGAACCATAAACTGGTAGAGATAAACTTGTACAGATATGCCTGCATGGTCCAATACATGATATGCTGAAAAGATTGTATATTTTTTCCAGGGATCTAATTTTTTCAGGTTTTACTGTAAGTTTACATAGAATTATTGAGACAGTTTATGGTTTCTCTAATAATATTACTTTTTAAGCTTTTCATTTTTTACAATGTTGCGAAATTGCTTCAAAAGTGCAAAAAATAAAAGGAGGAGGTGCTCACCAATGTAGGATTTCTATCTGTAATACATGTCTTTGCTGTTATTTTAATCATCTTTTTGAAAGGATTTGTTCAGGGTACATAAAGAAGCATATGAAGTGAAAATTCATTAGGTTATACCAGAACATCTTTCTTCATTTATTGCTTAAATTATCAATCTCTGGTAAAGTGACAGTAAAATGTTCTGAAACAGGGTTTTCCTTATACCATGTTAAACAACATCTGATTGGCCATTAAAAATAAATGCTAATATAAAGCCAATGAAACATGTTATGATATGGTGAACAGTTCATCATTGTCAGCTATTTTTGTCAACAATGCTCGATGAAAGTGCTCTTAAGAACACACTTTATCAAAGTTGAAGAGATACATACCTGACATACATCAACTCTTGCAATGGTGCGGTATTATGAAGCTTACACGGTAGTGGATGAATGAATTATGCTGCAAAATATCAGCTGATGACACTGTAATGTCGCATAGAAATTTGACATGTAAACAGTAAATATGACATGAATGTTCTATCATTATGATAGCAGACAAGACGTTTCAAACAATAAACAAAGTTTAAGGAAAATCATCTTGCTTTTGGGAAAAACAAAGTAAGGTACAAATTTTTGTCTTCAAACAATTTCTGTGAGGAAAGAAGTCAGTTTGGTGCATCAGAGTACAGGATTAGACATACAAAAAAGAATGTTAATGTCATGTTCTACTTATTGTCACATTTTCCCTGACAAATGGAACATGATATTAAGCAGTTTCCACTGTAACAGAATCTACATGTTTGTAAAGTTATCTACTGTAAAGCCATTAATTTTCATGAAAGATTTATTTTCTTTGATTTGGTGGGTATTCTCAGTTCATGAAGCCATTTGTCCATGAACTATTAAGATTTGTGTAAAATTACTTATTTATATTTATCCACAAAATCAATTGTCCATGAAGTAGGGATTTTTGAAAGAAAAAAACATGAAAATTGAAACCCACAAAAATATAGGATTCTACAGTATTTTGGAAGGATGATTAGTAAGTAATCAGAATAAAGATTTGAAAAAAGAAATGAAAAAATAGGATTCTGCATGATCAGTTATTCAGAATGAGGATATTTTGAAAAACCTCAAAAATTGAACTCTATAAAAATATAGGATTCTACAGTATTTCTTTTTTCATGTATTTTCACCTTTTATTGTATGTGCAGCTTTTGGAATACTGATTAGTCAGTAATTCAGAATTATAATAAAGACTACTTCTATGAATAAACATGTACCTCTGTCATTGTATGGGAAAGGTACTTATATGTCCTCCTGTTCTGTCTTATTCAGAATTGATGTTACAGCTGTGGTGCTTTAAATTATAGGATTATGTCAAAAATTGATACAAACTTAAAGTATGAGTCGAACCTGTCTATAAAGGCCAATCAATCAAGGGAACAGTGGCCTTTATATAGATATTCAATTACTATGAACTGTATAACATTGAGATCCAAAAATAGTGACCTTTTTATAGTATGTACCTCGGATAAGTTAGAATTTCAAGATCACCATTTAATAACTCTTAAAGTAAATCGTTAAATAATTCAGTTCAGACCAAAGGCATACCTAATCTATAGATATTTTTAGTTTGAAAAAGTAGGTCGTCCACCACTTGGCTACCTATCGACTATTTTAATTATCTTGTTTAAAAAATCATTTCGCATAGATAAATGTGGACACATACTTTTTCATTTTTTGTGTGTTGAAATGTTTCAGAGAGTTTGTTTTTACACGTATTCAGACCAATGAAAACTTATCTTTCATTTCTGCTAGTGTCTGTATGTTCCTGTAAGCCTGCAGATCTTTGGGTTTCTATATTTCAGACATATGGACACATCTTTGATTGATGCTGATGTTCAGACCAATTATGTTCGTATTACTTTGAAAGGCAAGGTGAGTTGACTACAAAAGTTTGGGTCAGCTGTGAAATCAACTATAAAGTACATTGTATAGTGATATCTTTATAATCTCAAAAACAACCTGTGTAATCTCACACCTAAGCATTCCAACAACCTGTGTAATCTGACACCTAAGTATTCCAACAACCTGTGTAATCTGACACCTAAGCATTCCAACAACCTGTGTAATCTGACACCTAAGTATTCCAACAACCTGTGTAATCTGACACCTAAGTATTCCAACAACCTGTGTAATCTGACACCTAAGTATTCCAACAACCTGTGTAATCTGACACCTAAGCATTCCAACAACCTGTGTAATCTGACACCTAAGCATTCCAACAACCTGTCTAATCTGACACCTAAGCATTCCAACAACCTGTGTAATCTGACACCTAAGCATTCCAACAACTTGTGTAATCTGACACCTAAGTATTCCAACAACCTGTGTAATCTGACACCTAAGTATTCCAACAACTTGTGTAATCTGACACATAAGCATTCCAACAACTTGTGTAATCTGACACCTAAGTATTCCAACAACCTGTGTAATCTGACACCTAAGCATTCCAACAACCTGTGTAATCTGACACCTAAGCATTCCAACCATTCCAACAACCTGTGTAATCTGACACCTAAGTATTCCAACAACCTGTGTAATCTGACACCTAACCATTCCAACAACCTGTTTAATCTGACACCTAAGCATTCCAACAACCTGTGTAATCTGACACCTAACCATTCCAACAACCTGTGTAATCTGACACCTAGGTATTCCAACAACCTGTGTAATCTGACACCTAAGCATTCCAACAACCTGTGTAATCTGACACCTAAGCATTCCAACAACCTGTGTAATCTGACACCTAAGCATTCCAACAACCTGTGTAATCTGACACCTAAGCATTCCAACAACCTGTGTAATCTGACACCTAAGTATTCCAACAACCTGTGTAATATGACACCTAACCATTCCAACAACCTGTGTAATCTGACACCTAAGTATTCCAACAACCTGTGTAATATGACACCTAAGCATTCCAACAACCTGTGTAATCTGACACCTAAGCATTCCAACAACCTGTGTAATCTGACACCTAAGCATTCCAACAACCTGTGTAATCTGACACCTAAGTATTCCAACAACCTGTGTAATCTGACACCTAACCATTCCAACAACCTGTGTAATCTGACACCTAAGTATTCCAACAACCTGTGTAATCTGACACCTAAGCATTCCAACAACCTGTGTAATCTGACACCTAAGTATTCCAACAACCTGTGTAATCTGACACCTAGGTATTCCAACAACCTGTGTAATCTGACACCTAAGCATTCCAACAACCTCTCTAATCTGACTCATAAGCATTCCAACAACCTGCATAATCTGACACATATACCTTCCTATTTTAACTGACCAATATAGTGAGTAGAGAAGATTTATTTTACCGAAAGACTTAACAGACAAGATTTGGAAATGCAATTCTTTGTCAGTTTCGTGGTTGTTGATGCGTGTCACTTAACCTGATGTTTGACCTTAAACTCTTTGATACAGATTTTCCAACTGTGCCTGGATGAGGATGTAAATGCTGACTCAAGTACAGCAAAGAGGTCACAGATCACTGGTCATCTGTTGGTCACTATGCCTAAGGTTAGTATGTATTCTATAACTTGGTGTGTTTTTAGTGTCACTTATTTTAAGCTTATTTTTTGGATGACATCATTCAGCCATGCATAGATTTACATCGCAATAATTACTGATTGTGCTATATCTATCTCTGTTTGTTTATAAAATGCTGTGTAATGTGTACACATGTGAGTGATTATTGACTTAAAAGCACTCTATTAACTTGTAATTAATAGTTCTTAGCCATCACTTCATCTGCAGCTGAACAAAAAACTTTTTTAAATGCAGTGAATGGAAACTACTGTTCTGATTGGTCACTATAACATTTATATTTTTATAACTTGTTACTTTCTCTTTCACAGGCAAAGCCATTACTGACAGCATCCAAACCAAAATCAGTTCAGGAGAAGAACAAAGAAAATAAAGAAAACAAGAAAACAGAGAAGCAGTTAGTTTTTTCCTGCAATAGACTTTTCAAAATCATTATAATACGCAATGTGGACTTGAATTGAAGCAACAACACATTTCATTATATAGATATGGTGGTATTCTTTGTCTGCATCAATTAAGTTAACCTTACAGCAAGTTCTAGTCTCCTCCTTGTTATTTGGAATGTTTGATCTTTTCAATTCATTTAAAAGTATACACATGTATGCTGTTTGTATACTGTATTTGTTATTTTAGGTAATAGATATATACGCAAGCATAAAATATAACACATATTTTGCAAGTCGCTCAATTAATTTGTACTATGGAAAATGTTGTTCACTCGCTTGTCTCATTTCAACTTCTGCAAATTGACAACAATGTTTATTTGCTCCAAAATACATATTATACCATTTCTTTTCTGTCAAGCTTATCACAAATAAGAACTGAGTCAAGACATAGAAATTTTCTCATCTTGGTATATATGACCAACAAAGGCTATTTCTTGTAGTTTGAATTAAAAAATCATATTAGATCTACACATCCTTGATTGATATCTTGTCTTTTTTGTGTTGTATTATTTCTTTACATGATTCTGACATTTTTTATGATATAATATTGTATTATATATCTATGTTTATCATATTTATATTTTATTATATTAAAGGAATACTGGTAAGACAAAGGAAGAGAAATTGGAAGTGGATGCATCTGTACATAAGACAGTTGACATTGCTGGTATCATGGAAAACAGTAAAAAAACTGTTCCACCACTTGGTTCAAATATCCGACGTCCAGTGAAAGAACGTCCAAACAGTGACGACTTTGTTGACGATCCAGATGTTCCTCCTCTGATGTGATGTTTGAATCTCAACGTCTAAGACAATAAATTACTGACCTCAGAAATTCATTACTTATTCATGTTGTGAAAAAATGCAATAAACACTTCAGCGAAAGAACATGGAGAACAAACTAGATCTTTGATTGGTTCAACAGTCCTCTCAGTTTTGACCATAAATTTCGCTGATGGTGCATTACAGTGTCAACAAGTGTATTGATAGGCTATTAAATTATTTTTGATTTTGGACACATGTAAGGAGTCCTCAAGCTTTGAGTGGAGTAAGATCTACACAGCCAAAAAACAAATTGGTTACTACCATATTGAGTCCGTGTTTCTCTGTTGGGCTCATTACATGACAAGGAAAAGCCAACCTGCTCAGCTGCTGACTCAGAGTTCAAGGTTATGTGTTGTTACTCTGGGCTAATTACAGGAAAACTATGATAATTGGGATCTCTATGGACAGTGATATATGTTAATTAGGATCACTGTTATATACTTTATGTATAAACAATAGTTATTGTAGGAGATGATCACCTCGGTTTGATCTTTTTATGAAGTTTATTGATGAAGCCATTTTGGTATCATTTGAAATATTTGTTATTTCTTTAGAAAATAAAAATTTCCCCTCCAAAAAATTATCTGTTGAAAAATCCATCACATCCCTGGGTGGATATACTAAATGTATATAAAAAAAATCATTTTTATATTTTTATTACCATATTTTTTTTTTTGTTTTAGCATAAAAAAGGGGGAAATAAAAACATGTAAAATTTCAAATATGGAGATTCTTGGCATCTAACATAAATAGACCAATTTTTAATTTTTTGTGTAGATGTTGTTGGTATGTGTAAGTTAAAGATGAATGTATGAACAAGTGTGTTATTTAGATGATACAAGTTATATCAATCTTTGGAACATTCCGTCCAAATACGTGATATGGAGTGAAACCATTCTAATCATCACTCTGTTTATAAACAATTGTATTTCATGAATTTTACAATAAATATGTTCAACAGACAAGAACTGCTTTATATATATATATTAATATAGACATATACTGTAGACAGGAGAACTCATTTACTTCCTGTTTATATAGATATATACTATAGACAGGAGAACTCATTTACTTCCTGTTTATATAGACATGTACTATAGACAGGAGAACTCATTTACTTCCTGTTTATATAGACATATACTATAGACAGGAGAACTCATTTACTTCCTGTTTATATAGACATGTACTATAGACATGAGACCTCATTTACTTCCTGTTTATATAGACGTGAGACCTCATTTACTTCCTGTTTATATAGTCATGAGACCTCATTTACTTCCTGTTTATATAAACATATGCTATAGACAGGAGAACTCATTTACTTCCTGTTTATATAGACATATACTATAGACAGGAGAACTCATTTACTTCCTGTTTATATAGACATGAGACCTCATTTACTTCCTGTTTATATAGACATATACTATAGACAGGAGAACTCATTTACTTCCTGTTTATAAAGATATGAGACCTCATTTACTTCCTGTTTATATAGACGTGAGACCTCATTTACTTCCTGTTTATATAGTCATGAGACCTCATTTACTTCCTGTTTATATAGACATGTACTATAGACATGAGACCTCATTTACTTCCTGTTTATATAGATATATACTATAGACAGGAGAACTCATTTACTTCCTGTTTATATAGATATATGCTATACACAGGAGAACTCATTTACTTCCTGTTTATATAGACATGAGACCTCATTTACTTCCTGTTTATATAGACATATGCTATAGACAGGTGTACTCATTTACTTCCTGTTTATATAGATATATACTATAGACAGGAGAACTCATTTACTTCCTGTTTATATAGATATATACTATAGACAGGAGAACTCATTTACTTCCTGTTTATATAGACATGTACTATAGACATGAGACCTCATTTACTTCCTGTTTATATAGACATGTACTATAGACATGAGACCTCATTTACTTCCTGTTTATATAGACATGTACTATAGACAGGAGAACTCATTTACTTCCTGTTTATATAGACATGAGACCTCATTTACTTCCTGTTTATATAGACATGAGACCTCATTTACTTCCTGTTTATATAGATATATACTATAGACAGGAGAACTCATTTACTTCCTGTTTATATAGATATATACTATAGACAGGAGAACTCATTTACTTCCTGTTTATATAGACATGTACTATAGACAGGTGTACTCATTTACTTCCTGATTATATAGACATGTACTATAGACATGAGACCTCATTTACTTCCTGTTTATATAGACATACTTCCTGTATATATATAGACATGTATATAGACTGTTTATATGAGACCTCATTTACTTCCTGTTTATATAGACATGTACTATAGACAGGAGAACTCATTTACTTACTGTTTATATAGACATATGCTATAGACAGGAGAACTCATTTACTTCCTGTTTATATAGACATATGCTACAGACAGGAGAAGTCATCTACTGGCCGACCATGCAATCTTAAATTTATGACTTTGAAAGATTGTTATTGCTATTTCTTAAGATCTTTCTCAAATTTCTTGTATAGGTTCCTTAAGGTCCATAGTTGTGCCTGTTTGAGTTTTGGAATGACAAGAAAAACAAAATGGCTGACAGGAAGCCATCTTGGATTTTGCAATGTAAAGATTGCTTATGCTATTTCTTAAGAAGTACTGAATGGATCTCTCTCAAATTTCATACGCATGTTCCCCTTGGTCTTTCCTTGTGCTCGTTTGATATTGGGACTGATCAGAAGAAATAAAATTGCTTCCAGGCTGCTATTTTGGGTTTGGCAGGTAAAGATTACATCACTACTTCTGCAGAATGTTCAAATGTCTTATCAAAGAGCAAAAACAGAGAAGAGAAGTGAAAAGAAGGGAAAAGATCCAACTTTCAAAGAGCATATAAAGAGCAAACAATGGTGGGTGCCAATATCCTTCTAGGATATCTCGTTATTGTATTTAGGTAACTTGTAATGTTTTGCTGACTGCAAGAAATTCTACTTTAAATTCATAAAATGCTTCCTAGAACAACCACACAATTCTCAAAGAGGAATATCAACCACAGGAATAGGGGCTTCTGATAAGCTTATGAATCTTGATGAGTAGTCCTTTTTTCTTAATTGGTCTTTGAACTGAGTGGACCTTTCAGGATATTTTTCTTTCTTTTACTAGTCCAAAAAAAGATCATGAAGCAAGATTCAAAGTTCACTTCATGATTTCCTTGACAAGAACATCACAATTTCTTAAGTTTTGATACAACAGTGTGAATTTTAACCATTAAAAGTGTTAAATTTACAGTGTTTATTACACTAAAAATTTAATATTTGTTTGTTTCACATTTTTTAAAAACTTTCAAGAGTATCCGTATTTTGGGTATTTACCATGATAAATGTTTAAAACTCGCATGTAAATAAAGAAAAAACAAAGAAATCACAAATCCGTTTTTACACAAATGAACATTTTTGTCCTCCAATTTTAGCCATTTAATGATTTCTAGCAGAATACAAACATATTTTTCCCTCAGCAATTTGCTCATCAGCTGACATGGGTTACAACAGAGGGTTTCCAGAGGTCCAGATCACAGCTAGTTTATTGGTCAACACCTCTCATTGGCAAATATTAATTTTCCTTGTTCCTTATGAAGTTGGATGTGGTTGTTGCTCGTAAATTTGCCTGCTGGGTTGTTGTTATTTACTTTATTCTCATTTGGGAATGTGACGTTACTTTCTTGGATAAATCAAGATTTACATGGCAGGTGTCATCGATTAAAAAAGACAGCATTTACTCTTCCAGAACACCTGAAAATATTCTCCTTGTACTTATTCAGGAGTATGTAATCTTCTGATCATGTTGTTAAGTGTTAAAATAAGTGTAATGTAGATTTATTGAGCTATATTTGTCCACAAAATCAAATCCCCACGAAACAGTGTTTTTTGAAAAATATGAAAGTTGAGCTGCACAAAAATTTATGGTATTATATGTTGACTGGTTAACCCTAGGGAATTGCAAGATTCTAAATATGCATTGACATCCTTTGAAGAAAAAATGATATAATTAATAAGAATATATTTTCCAATTTATTGCTTGGTAAAGCGAGTTCCTTTCATTTTTTCTTTTCTTTGAAACATTCCGTTAGCTTTATCCCTTGTTTACAGAACCGTTGACTAATCAATGGGAGTTATTTAATGTGTTGATTATAATGACAGTAATTCATGATAATAATGATAACTTTTTTCCATGTTTGAATTTCCTTGTAATAATAGAGAGACTAGCACTATAGTGTTATATGTAAAATGTGAACACTATCATGGGTCCCTTCATATAAATTTGATAATGAAAAAAATGATTACAGAACAATTAAATAAGAAAATAACATCAATATCGGTGTCAAAATATTTTGATTCATAAAATCATCTAATTTATTAAACTTTCTGGGTGTGGATAACACAAAAATACACAAATTCAAAGTGCTTTAATGGTAGGTTTGTTTGCTGGTTAACTGCCCCTGATTCTTGTACTAGTTTGTGTCTGCCTCACTGAACAACATACTGGAGACCACACATAGCATACCAAGCATCAAAAGTAAAATGTCTTTCCGAATATACAACCATGCCAGCACATATTGATCCATTTCTTGAAAAATACAAACAGTCAAAGCATGGAGCCTCAAACCAACCAACTCCGATCTTTGTCTGAGGTGCATAGGCCAACACTCTCCAACTGAGTTACCAGTAATATTGCATGCTCTCTGACTGACTTATCAGTATTATTTGGTTGCAGTGTGTATAGTTTGGTATTTATCTATATTTGTTTATAATCCTTTTTATTGCAAAGTGCTTTACACTTGCAATGCATGTCAATGATCAGTCAAATATATTGCCAATTTATTTGGATGTTTTGTGGTATGTCACGACTCAAAGCTGGAACTGAAAGTATTTAAAGTTATCCTCAGAAATGAGAAGTCTATAAAA